TAAGCGAGGCTTCAAAAAGGGAACCAAAAAGGACCAACACATGACACATGGAAGTGTCCGAGATGGAGTCTGAGATGGACCCGAGATGGAGTCCGAGATGGACCCGAAGTGGAGTCCGATATGGAGTCCGAAGTGGAGTCCGAGATGGAGTCCAAGATGGACCCGAGATGGACCCGAGATGGAGTCCGAGATGGAGTCCGAGATGGACCCGAGATGGACCCGAGATGGAGTCCGAGATGGAGTCCGAGAAGGACCCGAGATGGAGTCCGAGGTGGAGTCCGAGATGGAGTCCGAGATGGACCCGAGATGGAGTCCGAAGTCGAGACCGGGACCAAGACCGAGACCGGGACCGAGACCGAGATCGGGACCGAGACCGAGACCGAGGCCGAGTCCGAATCCGAGTCCGAGTCCGAGTCCGAGTCCGAGTCCGAGTTCGAAGCCTGAGAGGGTGAAAGCCCAAAGCGTTCGTCTCCCAGACCCTGGGGGGTTTGGTGAGCTCCAAAAGTATAGTAGGGGGAGGACTGCAGTGGAGCCAGTTTGGCCAGGAAAGGCCAGTTTGGCCCAGGAAGGCCGGACCCAGTGTTGGGTGATGAGCTGCCCACTGGGAAGTCCAAGACTAGAGTGAACACGGACCGACAAGCGGGGTAGCTTGGTGAAGTGTTCAAGAGCCGGCTCTAGTTCCCCCGGGAGATCGACTGGCCGATGCTCCCAGTCCAAGTGTGGGTGGCACTACCTACTTGGATACCTGGTGTGGCTCAACGGAACCTCGCTCTAAGCCCATGGCTAGAGCACCTAAAGACGAAAGGCGGGGAGAGTACCCATGAGGCTTGTGTAAGGCCACAGTGTTCCGAAATGGTGTCCCAAAGTCCCAGACTGTGGAAAGGAAGAGGGGTAGCCCTCCAGTGTGGTGACCAAGGACACAGTCACACAGTGAGGAAGTCCTAGAGGATAGTGGGACTTAGTGGTCGGGCCGGTGGGCCTCGATCCAGTGGCAGTGTTGGCGAACACAACCAAGGACAGAAAGGGACTTGGTGGGGACCGAAACAGAGATATTGGGGAAGGCTATTCCCCATGTCTGTAGGCATCCTAAGGATGTTAAGGAGTGGATCTGGGATGACCACTCATGGACGGATGACCCAGTCTTTGAGAGACGGGATGGGAATGTAGGTGGTGTTGGACCACCAGTGTGACCAAGGTAAATGGGCATGGCCTTAGCGTAACGGGCCGATATGTCGGTGGTACCTTGGGGTGTCGATCATGGGATCGGACACGTGGAGCACTTGGACCAAGTGCTAAGGTTGAGTGGCATGGATGCCATTCTCGGGGCTAGCAAGCCCCAAGTCCTGAGTTGGGCTTATGGAGGTTGTGAATGAGACTCCTCCAAGTGGTCGGAGGTGTGGTTAAGTGAGTAAAGTAGAATGGAAAAATTAGTCTCTTATAGAAAACCTGAACGTTCGACATTGATTGTGGAGGCTCCCATTCGAGAATAATCTTGACTTTAGCAGGATCCATCGTGATACCCTCAGGAGTGACAATGTACCCAAGGAACTTCATAGACTACTGATCAAAGGAACATTTCTCAAGCTTCGCGTATAGGCCGTGTTCTCGCAGCTTCACTAGCACCTTGCAAACATGTTCGTCATGCTCCTCCTGAGTTTTTGAGTAGATGAGGATGTCATCGAGGTAGACGATCACCATCTGATCAAGAAACTCCCGAAAAACGTCGTTCGCCATGTGTTGGAAAACCGCTGGAGCATTTGTCACGCCAAATGGCATGACAGTGTACTCGAAGTGGCCATAGCGGGTTCGGAACGCAGTCTTCCATTCATCACCAGGCCGGATCCAGATCAGGTTGTATGCTCCACGGAGGTCGATCTTGGTGAAGAAGCGGGCACCGCCGAGGCGTTCCAACAGGTCCGAGATCAGGGGCAACGGATAACAGTTCCGAACAGTCACCTTGTTCAAACCTCGGTAGTCGATTACTAGCCGCAAGCTCCCATCCTTCTTCTTGACAAAGAAGACAGGCGCTCCAGCCGGGGACTGCGAATGCTGAATGTAGCCCGAGGCAAGGTTCTCATCCACGTACTCTTTGAGGGCCTTAAGCTCGGACGGGGATAACCCGTAGATAGGCCCCCACGGAGGTGACGCTCCTTCCTGTAAATCAATGGGACAATCATAAGGCCGATGAACAGGCAGTACACTAGCTTTTTTCTTGTCAAACACATCCCCAAAATCATGATACTTCTCAGGAAGACTGACAGGAGAAACATGCAAAGCAAAAAGAAAAAGAGGTTCTTTATGAAGGAGTTCTTTCATAGTGATTGTGGAGATAGGAGAAGGGGTACGACTAAATGGAATGATGAGACGAGGATACTGTCCAGTGTAAGATGGAAGAGAGGAAAAAGAAGAGGATAAAAACTTCGTAGAGTCAGGAACAGAACCCCGACTTGAGTTTAGGGAACTTTTCCTGATTCGGACTCGATGAACACCAGGGGAAGCCGTGGGAGATGGTGATGTGGGAGAGATGAGCTGTAAGTCCTTCCAACAAATCTGAGGCTGATGTAGTTGGAACCAAGGAAGACCGAGCACCACAGAGGAGGACTTGCTGTTAATGATGTTGAAGGCGATATCGGTGACGGTGGACCCGATGTGTACTCGAACGGGCAACGTTTCCCTAAGTCCAGAAGATGGAGACACAAAATGCCCGCCGATGCCTTCAACCCTCAGATCCCGTATGGTAGGAGAAAGAGGAACGTGATATCGGGCAGCAAAGTCCGTGTCCATGAAGCAGGAAGTTGCACCCGAGTCCAGTAGCGCCAAAGCCTTGAGTCCTGATTGTCCGGTGAAAGAAAGGAGACATGGGACGCGGAAGTTGCAGGAATTGGTGGTGGCTTTGATGAAAGGTGGTGAGGAGCTTGATAAGGAAGAAAAGTGATTTTTATTTGGGGAGTCCAAACAGACAGCTTCTACTCTGTTTGGACAGGGTCGTTTCCCGACTGCAACAGAAGTGGACTTTGAGGCAGAGTGAACTCGAGCAATCGGGGAGGCTTCCTGGGACACACAGCTGCTTTGTGATTAGGATCAGCACAGTAGAGGCAAAGATTATGAGATATTCGACGTTGCCTCTCAGCAGGACTCAACTTCCCTCTAATGAGTCGGGGAGTACCAGAAATATCCATCGGGACCGGAGCAGTAGGTTCAGGACTATGCCCCGAAGACTCAAGCTGGGATTCCTAAGTCTGGGACGGAAAAACAGAGGCACGGCGACTTTCCTGACGACATTCAAAGAGACGATTGTCACATCGAACAGCTTTGTTGATGGCGTCCGATAGGTCCTTGGGATCCTCCATGGTGAGCAACAAATCCTTGACACCGTTGTTGAGGCCGAAACGAAATTGGTCAATCAGGGCCCACTCATCCCACTGAGTGTCCAAGGCAAGGAGTTGGAACTCTGCAGCGTAGATCGAGGCAGGACGAGACCCCTGAGAGAGACGTCTCATCTTTGTGGTAGCAGCCCGAACCCGATCCGTCTCGCCAAAACATGCTTCGAGCTTCTCTTTGAACAATTGAAGATCCATCAGCTCCGGAACCACGACCCCTTTCATGCTCTTCTCCAGAAGAGGAGAAAACCATGACAAAGCTGCACCCTCGAGCAACGTCCCAATCGCGCTGATTTGAGACTCGGGAGTGGGGTACCGCCGATGTTGAAGTGCAAAGATCAGCTCCATTTGGTTCAAAAATCCACGAAGCTCCGAACGCTTGCCTGAAAATTTCGCCGGGAAACTCACCTTCGGTTCAGGAACTTTGCTGGATCCTTGAGCCGAAAGTGAAGCAAGCTCCTGCTGCATGCGAAGAAGGGTCGCCTTCAGCTCGGTATTCTCAGACTGGATTTTTGCAAGGACTTCGGCAAAGAAATCAGGATGGCTTGGAGACTCCATTGGCAAGAAGAAAGAAAAGAAAAGGGGGAAAAAGACAAAGGCAATCAAATAATCAAAACGAGCTAAAAGAAAAGCAAAAAACACAATCTGAATCAAACTGTCAAGACCCCCAACAAGATCAAGACTAGAAAATGCTAAAGACAAAGAGAAAAAGCTAGTGAAAACAAAGAAAAGGCCTTAGACTGGTGTTGATTCAGATTGTGAAGAAATGGAACAAGGCTAACCTATATATACTATAGGTTGATGAAGCTCCACCACTCTTGGATCGAGGATGGCCTAAATACAGCTGAGGTCGAGAAGGCGCCACATCATCATCAGGAATGTGGCTCGAGACTCAGGAATCGGGAAGTGTCTCGAGAGTCAGGAATGTGGTCTGCAGGTCAGAAATCCGGCGAGAGTCAGGAATGTGGCAAGAATTAGGGGATTCCTAACAATGTGCCGTGAACGCCACCATCAACTGAGTTTGGTTGTTCAATTGCAAGCGCATAGCATCAAGCAATTGAACCAACTGCTGCTCTAGAGCCAAAGGAGGAGATTGCGGATCGGCCATGAAGATGAATGAAAAAGAAAGAGCAAAAGAAGAGAAATGACAAAAAGTTGGAAAGAAATGGTAGATCTAGACAATGCAAAAAGCTAGATCTAAACCAAAATCCTGAAAGGAAAGAACAAAAGAAAGGAAATGGAAAAAGCTAGATCTAGACAATGCAAAAGCTAAATCTAAACCGAAATCCCAAATCCAAGTACTCCCCAGGGACAATCAAAGGTGCCCCTCATCTCCACCAATGTGAGTGCATGGAATATGGAAAGGGAATACAGAAATGTGCATATCAATTAGCCCAAAAACCCTAGCTTATATACAGGAGCGAGTGGTCCGGATTGAAACCAATCTGACGGCTACCAAAATCCACTACGCTAATATTAGTATACGGCATCGTAGCCGTACACTTGGCTCTCACACTATCAATTTTTTATTTATTTAAAAAGAAGAATGTTTGAAGGCATTATATTTTCTTGTATGTTATAAATTCTTATGAAGAATTGTGAGAAATGAAATGTCGACAATTACCAGTAAACACTGTCTGTTGTACATGTCCAGGTAGATGAGCTCCAGCCATGTCTCATTGCTTTTGAGCTTTCTCACAAACTTTTGCTAGATTTTTCCATTCAATTCACTGCATTGCAAGCTCTTCTAATCTCTCCATCACTCCCAGTGAGCACCTGTATGTCGCTCATCCGGAGCATGGACGCCACGAACCCCGCCCGGAACGTCACCCCGGCCACTCCAAACGCCGTCACCGTGATGCGCGCCCCGGTGTCGTCCATGAGGCGCTGGTCCGACTCCAGCACCCCGCCACCATTCCGCAAGTTCTTGAAGTAGCTGCTGTCGAACGAGCCCTGGCTGCCCGTGTCCAGCGCCACCTTGTTGAGCCCCGCGTCACCCCTGGGACACTGCTGCTGGAGCATAGCGAGAGTGCTCTGGCTCATGGATGGATCCGGCTTGCCGGTGGACGAGAAGTTGTAGAGGCGGTAGCTGAAAAAGCGGCAGTCGGTCTGGCCGATCGTGTGAGCACCTGTATGGCAGATTTGTCGATTGATCGAGAAAGCTCGAGTGATTTTACGTACCACTGAGAGTTGCGAGATCCAGAGTTGTGAGTCCTTTGGCCGAGAACTTTTGCTTGAGCACCGCGACCGAGTCGAGTGGCGAGGGCATGTTTGATGCGTCCGAGGCAGAGGAAACTCTTCCGTCCCGTCGGCCCAGAGGAACTGGCCAGAACTGTCCTCCACTCTAAGGTCATTGATCAAGACACAGCGCACGGATTGTTATAATAGCTGACGATCGAAAGTTCGTGATTTGATACCTCTGAGACCGCGTCCCTGGCAGCGAGCGCAAGAATGTCGGCGCACGACACAACTCCCGGACACGCTGCCTCGATCTGCCGCTTCGCATCGTCTATAACTTCGAAGCCCCGGAGGCCGAGGTTGGCCAGCGCCGCTTTCTCCGCGCTCGGGCCGTCGATGAGAATGGAGCCATCACAGCCCTGAAGAAACGAGCGGACGGAAGCTCAGGATCAAATCAAAGCTTCAAACGAGCTTCAAACCCACTCGGACAAAGCAGTCGTGGAAATGCAAGCGAAGAACGCCTGCTCCAATCATAGGATTGGAGCTCATGTGTGATCTCACTGTGGACTTGACGATGGCTTCCACTCGAGGGCACGAGCCGTCGTAGAATCCAATCCTCGTCGCACCTTCTGCAAGATTGTAAGCCGCCGCGACTATGAGCAACGCCAAAACCGTGAGCTCCATGTTGCAAAGATGCTGCTGCGTTCTTCGCGATTGCCAGCTTTATACCGCTGCTCCCCATCTTCAAAGGCGTGTACTAGCGGCGAACAAAAAAGTTGCCTCCACAGCCCACAAAACTGATTGCTTTTGGCTCCGAGTGAAAGGCCTTGCGTCGTGAAGCTTTAGCTACAGTCCTCCAACCCCACACGGAGAGACCAAGCAAAAATTCTTACGTTCTTCGTCCAAAGTGCGCTATCTTGCTGGTGACCACCACCAACATGATAGATGCTCCACTGTAAGATCTCCCAAACACGAAGGAGCCACCCTTCTTTCTTCGCTTTATTCCAATCTTGGACTAGCTAGCTACTGTGCTGGGATTTTAAACTCCCGCATACTTCTGGACGGGGAGTAGCACCAAACCCAATCGTTCCACTGACGCATTCTTTCTAGCAAATGCCCTCTGGTGGCAAACATCTAAATCCTCTTGTTTCACAATCACAGATTGCGCTCCAACATATCTTCAATAAGCTGGTTTTTTCTTGGGCAATTCAGAAGAGATGGAGCATCACCACCCACAAAAAGATACTGTACTGCGGCATCTTGAGCAAAAGCTATCTTGTAGGACCAAGATGATCCGAGTAGTGAGATGCCATGCCAACATTGGAACTCTAACTCAAAAGATCACACACCACCTCAAATCTTGAGCTCCTGCAAGTCCGGCGCATCCCCATCATCGCACTCCACCATCTGCCGCATCCCTTCCTTGAGCTCCTCAACCCCCTCGCCAAGAACAGCGCACACCGGATACACGGGGAGCTCCGTCCTCCTCCTCAGCTCCCTCACCACCTCCTCGGCCCCCTCCTCGTCCATCTTGTTCGCCACTACGATCGACCGCCGCTTGGTCATCCCGCTCCGGTAGCACTCCATCTCATACTTGAGCTGCTCCAGCTGATCCCACGCGTAGTCCCCCTCCCTGCCCGCCACCCCGAGCGACGCATCCAGCACGTAGACGAACACCTTCGTGCGCTCGACGTGCCGGAGGAAGTGGAACCCCAGGCCCCGGTTCTCGTGAGCGCCCTCGATGAGCCCCGGGACGTCGGCGACGCTGAAGCAGTAGTAGTCCGGGAACTCCACCCTCCCGATGATCGGCCTGAGCGTGGTGAAGGGGTAGCTCCCCACGCACGGCTTCGCTTTGGACATGGAGCCCAGCAGCGTGCTCTTGCCGGCGTTTGGAGCCCCCACGAGACCAACGTCGGCGATGCTCTTGAGCTCCAGGATGAGCACCGCCTCGCTGCCGGGCTCGCCGGGCTCGTTCTCCAGGCGCGGGAGTCCGTTCGGCCACTTGCTCTTCTTCGGGAGCGAGCGGGGGAGTGCCGCGTTGCCTCTACCCCCGGCGCCACCCACGGCTACCACCAGCGTCTGGTTGGGCTCCAGCAGCTCGGCTACGTTGCTCCGGATGATCGGTCTCGGGATCTTGAGGACGCGCGGCGCGTCCTCGGACGACGAGGAAGAGGCACCGTCGTCATCGTCATCTTCTTCTTCTTCGTCTTCGTCTTCGTCTAGATCACTGTCGTCGCTAGTCTCTTCCGGTTCTTCTGAGGTTTCTTGGGGTGGTGGAGGATGATCGGGCCTGTGCGAGTATATGTCCTTGGAGAACATCTGGCTCAGCCTCACCCAGTCTTTGTCACCGTCCCAAGTTTGCTTCACTGTTCTCCGAGCTACTCGTTGCCGGAAGTCTTGGGTCATGTCCGGGAGAGTGCCCTCGGAAAGATGGACGACTGTTCCCAGAGGGACGTAGAGAACCTGAGAAAGATTTCATTCGATCATTCTCGCTAGAACTTAGAGAGGCAAGAACAAAGACTTACTTCATCCAAGCCTCTCTTCCCAGTTTGCTTCCTGTCAAGCCCCGAGCCCCCGTTTCCACCAGCCTGTCTAGAAAAACAAAGAATGAAAGATCGATCAGAATAAAGGCTCGATCGAAGGCAAGAACAAACAAAGAAAAAAGAAGATCACCGCAGCGTGCTGTAGATTCTTGAAGTCGTAAACTTCTGGCGTGCTCTTGAGAATCACCTTCCCTCCAATGCCGCCATTTCCACCTAGATCATCACATTTGGAGCCTCTGCGATGCAAGAGAAAAGAAGAAGAGAGCGCTTACCATTGACACGGCCGTGCCGAGAGCTCAAGCTCTTGGCAAAGCTGTTGCATCCGCCGCCGCCATGCCCGCCCTTGACTCGGAGAATGTAGCGATCCACGAGCTTGCGCTCGGCTTGCTTCACCGGCTGCTGGTCCTTCTCCCAGTGGAGCGCCCTCGCCAGCGCCATCCGCCATGGCCGCTGCTTCATCGAAGTTTTAGGGTTCTAATGGCCCGTTATGTCCTTTTAGGGTTCTAGAGAAAATAGGCAATGCCGATCGCTCGGAGATTCGGGACGCGCATGGCAGCGGCGGTGGCCAGGTTTGGAGCGCGGCGCGATCCTGAAGCGCCAGCATCATCGGCATCGCCGCAAGCAGCTTCGAGAGCGAGGAGATTTGGGCCGGGGGCTAGAGCCGCGGCGGCGGCGGCGGCGGCGGCGGCAGGGCCTGGAAGATCCAGGGCGTGGGAGAGGAGGGCAGGCCCGGCGCTGGAGGCGTCGCAGCAGGGGGCACTGGAGGGCGCGCCATTCGGGCAGTGGAGCCACCGCGGGCCGATCAAGACGACGTGCAAGAATCTGGGCCGGGTCATCTACCTCGCCAACATCCCGCTGCGATTGCAGCTCCCGCCCCGCCCCAACGATCTCAAGGAGCTGTGCTTCCGGACGTATCCCAGGGCCGGCAAGGTGAGCGTTAGAAATCTCTTCTTTGAGACTCATCGATCGATCTCTCTCTCTCTCGTCCAATGCAGCTAGAGATCAAGAGGGTCCTCCAGCTCGTCTATGGCCTAGACGTGGAGAAGGTCCACACGATGAACATGGACGCCAAGAAGAAATTCAATCCCCGGAAGAAGTACTTCTATCGCACCGCCTCGTACAAGAAGTGCTACGTCTATCTCAAGCGCCCAATCTCCCTCTCCAAGGATCTCTTTCCGCTCAATCTCTTCTACGGCGACCCCGAGCAGCAGGAGGGCGGCGAGGATAGATCTGGCGCCGCCAAGGACGAGAGCTCCGCCGCTTCTTCTTCTTCCACCGCCACCGCCGCCTAGATCGAGGACTCAAAGGGGCCAACGTTCTTCTCTCTCTCTCATCCAGTAGGGTTTATTTGTGGGCGAGCCCTTTTTTAGGGTTCCTGGGATACGAATTTGGATGGAGCTGGGCATTAATATCGTCCCGATCGATCTGTCGCTTGCTGCTGGGCGGGCGGCGAGGCGAATCGAGTGATGGATCGGGTTTGATGGTGCCGCCTAGCCGATCCATGCAGCAACAGGAGCAGCCGCAGCAGAATTCTTTTCCTCCTCCTCTCTCGTCCTCGCCCAGCGCCAGCACGAATGGGCGGAGCAGCGGCAGCGGCAGTGGCAGCAAGCGCTCCCCTTCTTCCTCCTCAAGAACGCTCATGCAGCGCCTCTCTTGCCTCGTCCTCTCGATTCTCCTCCGGCAGCACAAGCTCTTGCTGATTGCGCCCATTATCTACATCTCGGGAATGCTGCTCTACATGAGCACCATGACGCTGGATTTGCCGCGGGTGAGGAAGCCGGATCCTCCCGGCTCCAGGTACCGGAGCCCCGAGGTGTTCGCGAATTTGTGGCCGGCAATGCGGGCTTCCAACAACACCGGGGTATGATCGATGAGATTTGCTTTTGTGTGGTGTGACTAAGAAAAATCTCCTCTCCCTTTGTTTCTTTTTTTTTTTTTTGGTTCTTCGCGAATTCTTCCAGATTAAGGCTGTGTGGCAGTTTCCAAAGGAGGGAGAGGGCTGGGTTCCTTGTTTGGATCGTCATTCTTCGAATAGCACTGGTGAGTGACAACCATCTTTCTCGATCTCGATTAGAGAAAAAACACGAAGAAGAGCTAACTATCTTGGATTTTGTTCGTGCATGTGTGTCCAGATTTACCTCCATCGAATGGATTCGTGATGATAGAGGCAAACGGGGGCTTGAACCAGCAGAGATCTTCCGTAAGTCTGTGGATTTTTTGGTTTTTTTTTTCTTCTTCGAAGAATGCCGTGGGTGATTGAGATTCTTTTCGTGGCTCTTTTTCCTTGGTGATAGATATGCAACGCTGTTGCTGTAGCAGCACTTTTGAACGCGACCCTTGTTGTCCCGGAGTTTCATTTTAATAGTGTTTGGCAGGATAGGAGGTGCGTGCCTTTTGTTTTCCTTTCTTCACTCTCATGTGTGTGATTGTTAATTGCAGCACTTTCGGGGAGATATATGATGAGCAGCATTTTATTAATGCGCTCCAGAGGGACGTGAGAGTTGTCAGCCGGCTCCCCGATGATCTCATGGACAGCGTAGGCAACCTCAGTAATATTTTCAACTTTAGGATCAAGGCTCTATCTCCACCCAGCTTTTATCTCGACAAAGTCCTCCCCAAGCTCCTTGAAACCGGGTAAGCTCTTTTTTTCTACCTTTTGACTGTCATCTAATTCAAACAGTATTGCTGGCAACAGAGTCATCAGAATAGCTCCCTTTGCAAACCGTTTAGCGTATGATCACATTCCTTTACCTCTGCAGCGGCTTAGATGCTTCACTAACTACGAGGCTCTGAGATTCGCAAAGCCGATTTCCGACATTGGCCAGCTGCTAGTTCAGCGTATGGTAGAGCGCAGCTCTGGGAACGGTGGGAAGTATGTCGCTGTGCATTTGCGGTTCGAAGAGGTAACGTGTTTTTTACGTTCGCCATCTCTGAGCAGATGTCAACAAACGACGGTGTCGTTTTGTTTTTCTTTTTCGTCATTCCTTTACAGGACATGGTGGCGTTTTCGTGTTGTATTTACGATGGAGGCGAAGAGGAAAAGCTGGAGATGGATGCTGCACGCGAGAAGGGCTGGAAAGGCAAGTTCAACAGGAAGGGCCGTATAATCAGTCCAGGTGGTAACAGGATGGATGGGAAGTGTCCCCTCACTCCACTGGAGGTACCGTCGCTTTGCTCTCGTGATTTCTTTGGCGCGTCTAAAGCCACTTGCAGGTCGGAATGATGCTCAGGGGAATGGGATTCAAGAACTCTACGCCCATATTTCTGGCTGCGGGGAAGATCTACAAGGAGGAGAGAACCATGCTTCCGCTGAAGCAGATGTTTCCGAGCCTTCAAACTAAAGAAACGTTACTGACAGATGAGGAGCTTGCACCATTCAAGGCAAGCTCTACATTTTGATATTGAACGAGGCCCTGACCATATGACTTGTTCTTTGGTTTTCCTCAGATGCACTCCTCGAGATTAGCCGCACTGGACTATACAGTTTGTCTGCACAGCGAGGCTTTTGTCACGACACAAGGTGGCAATTTCCCACATTTTTTGATCGGCCATAGGCGATTTCTCAACAAGGGCTACGCGAAAACGATACGTCCGGACAAGCGAAAGCTGGTGCAACTCTTGGACAGACCCAGCATCAGGTAAGCACGTCTTCCTCCCTTCTTTTCCTTTCTCTGTTCTCTAAGTTTCACTCGACTGCAGCTGGGAATCGTTCTCAAAGCATTTGCAAGCAATGCAAAGACACAACGACGTCAAGGGCCACGAGATGCGCAAGTCGAGCGCTTCGATCTACACGTACCCGGCCCCGGACTGTATGTGCCTGGAGAATCCTCCCCCTCCGCCAAAGCCTCGCGTCAAGCACTCGGGCAGCACAGCCAACGAGTCGGCCACCCTCGTTGGCATGTGAGTTTCTTAAAGTGATTTTGTTTCTCTCTTTAAGGTTTGTCTTCGATTCTTTTGAGCACCACGAGGTGCGGATACCACGGCGCTGTAATTTTAATCTCCCTGGAGGGATGATCTGATTAAAAGAAAATATGTATAGCTAAAATCTAGGGGATCCAGTGGATATTCTTATTATAACTATTATCATAACTATAACAGGTTTTTAGTTATTTGAAAGGACTTGTACGAACGATCTTAAACCTTTCGCGAGTGTACGATTACATCGCCACCGTCCGTGTGTTGCATGGTCATCCAGGCCGTCGGATGATCGTCCCTGTGTTGCTCTTTGAGGCGTCCTGCGGCTGATCAAGGGCACTGGCCGTGAGTGGATCATCGTCGCTGGGCGAGCCGAGAGACATCGTCATGGCCGAGCTGGGCGAGCCGAGTGACATCGAAATGGCCGAGCGGACTTTGCTGGCTTCCCCGACGGCGCGCCTGCAGTTTGCTACATATTGGAGCGAGGGCTCTATTGTGCTGCGATCCCATGAACAGGTCGACGATTTTGTGGAGGCTCCCCCACATGATGCATCCAAATCTAGGCGTGGTTCCACGAAGCTAGATTCTTGATTTCCTCTTATCTTTCTCTGCCAATGTCTGCGCAGTGCGGAACATAGAACTGGGAACATTTATGCCCATGTTTCTACCAGCTCTATGGGCAGATCGTAACAGGGAGCTGATGTTCATTCGATTTGTCAACGCAACTTGCCATGGTGGCGTCTGGCATAATACTGTCTCTCGCTACCTCTCCTCCCTTGCGCTGCGAGGCATCCCCGACCAAGGCGTCCAGCTCATGGATGTGCCACCCTGCCCATGGCCGGATTCTGACTTTTTTTTTATGCCAATGGAATCTTACAGGAATTCTCGACGACAACTTTGGCACAGAAGCTTGAAAGGCGTGATGCCATGGCCACCCACATCATGGTAAGTCGATGCTTTCTTTGATTGGAAACTAAACTTGCAAAGTGTGGAAGCATCGTGAACGGGCAAAAGCTTTTCGACAGGATGCTGTGCCGTGATCTCATGATGTGGATGGTTTCTCTTGCCGCAAGTTCGAGGTCGGGGCCTCCACAACAACTCTCCTCTTCCCATGCATACCTTGCTAGAAATTTCCCAGGGATCTGGAACACAGCAAGCATTGGTAGCATCGGGATTACAGCAAGAACTGGTAATGCTTGCTGTTATCCCTGGGAAAACTGTAGCAAGGTATGCTACAAATCCAGGGATCTTGTGGTATCCTTGAATGACAGTCTCACCAAACACAATTCTAGCACTATTTCCGTTGATCAAATCAAAGTATTGGGAATCACAAGCCGGTCTACCAGTGAATCTACAAGCCCGTCCAAATCGAATGGAACCGCTTCAACTCGAGCACGAATAGCTAAGTCGTGTGCCTTGAACAAGTTCTAACACTCATTTTTCTCTCCAGCAGATGGGCAGGCCATATTCTACCTGGCTCTGCTTGCAGAGGTTAAAGGACCTTGCATATTTCTCCTTCTACATTCCTCAGTTTTGGTCTGACAACGATGCCAGGCACCTTAACCGGCTCTACTCCTTCCTCCACCAAGAATTCCCTATGAAAGAGCGTCCGTATTTCATCCCACCTTACTCGGTTAAAGGGGTGATGGTCTTGCCTGTAGACAGGCCTGGTTCCTCTTGTGAACCGCCTTCCTACCCGTGGGATAAGCTCGGGTTGCAGTACGAGGACTTTCTCGAGCTCGTCTGCGAGCCTAAGGGGCGAACCTCACAACTGAAGGATCTCCGCCTCCAACGGCTTGTGAGCTTTGGGTATCAGATCTACGAGGCAGGGCATGCACGAGACAATGGCGCAGTGCGGCATGGAGACAATGAGGATGATGATCATCAAAGCCCTCTGGCAGATATGGAAACTGGCCCGAGCAGCAGCAAATCTGGAAGCTGGCGAGAGCAGTGCTGATACCGGAGGCTTGGATAGAAATTTTGACAATCACTAAATTTGAAGTGTGGCTGCTCAGCAAACTGTCAAAATTCCTATCTAAGCGGACATCATGATCATTCTTGCAGGGACTCGTAGTCAGAGTACTGGATCTTTGCCACGTAGAGTTGAAACTCGATGAGGAACAATACAAGACTGCAGTGTTTATCTCCCTGGCAATGAAACGATGGTTTATAATATGCTTTTGCCTGTGACTTGCCTTGCAGCTTTGCTTGTCCATCATTTCCCTCGCAGTACTAAGGAAGCCATGTATGGGCCAACTTTGCTATGACTTCTCGGCCATGGACGAGTTCCTCAACCAAGAAGCCACCCAACTCGCGTTGCGGAGCGAGGAGCTTCGGTTGTAGAAGTGCGCAAGCGCACAATCCGTTTGCTTGAGTCGTTCATCGGAAAAGGCTTCCTCTGCAAATAGTCAGATTTTTTGGCAGCCAAATAGATGCCTAAAAACCCAATATTATTTGCGCCTGCAGTATGCTTGTTTTTAAAATGAAGGAAACACACTTGCATGGAATGGTAGCAATCTTTGTGGATGGCGAGATGGCAGCCTCGATCTCTCTATGTAGCGAATATTAAGGGATCGAGTTTAATATCCTAAAGGCATATTTTACAAACATCTTTTTTGCTCTAGTTCTTTAGATGATAGAATAAAGTTTTTATTTTTTAAGGTCCAGCTAGAAATGATCTCGCGACATTTTAAATCATTAGTTTCTAAAATGTAACACTTGTTTCTAAAAAGAATTTGTTTTAGGGCTGATGGGCGCTGGAGCTCTTTGCCCTTTTTGTGAGATCGCGCTGGGGAAATGCGCAGGCCGGACCAGCAGTATTCTCTTCCAGGTTCTCTATTCAGCTCTACTTCCTTGAGCTGGACTCATGGCCATCACCACTGCAGGATGACGAGTTGCTAGCATTTGAGGACCGGAGCCCATCAGGATCCAAGTAGCATAGACAAAGTTTTGGAATGAAAATTTTCATTGCTCGCTGCAGGCATTACCTTGTGGTTCCAGTCGAGCACATCAAGAACATCAACAGCCTCAGGGGTGACGAGCATGCTCTACTCGGTAATAAAACCTTCCGCGTTTCCTTAGATTTTGAGAGAGAGAGAGAGAGAGATAATTCTTTCTCTTGCCAGTCGAGCGGATGCTCAAACTTGGAGAATCGTTGCTGCGGAAGGACGCTCCTGGGGCCGAGAGCTACAAGTGATCATATCTATGACCTTCTTGCTGTGTTTCATGCTTCCTCACTCACATTTTCTCGAGTTTACGTGCTTACAGGTTTGGATTCCATCGGCCTCCATATAACAGCGTGAGCCACCTCCATCTACATTGTATTGCCATGCCTTTCAAATCCTGGTAAGCTCCCTCCTCTGTTCTCTTCGATCAAGCCTCACCTCTACGATTTTCTCGAATTCTCAGGTGGGGGGCCGTCAAGTATAAATCGCTGGGTTGCCTCGGCGGATGGATCACTGCCGAGGAAGTGCTGCGATCTTTGAGTTCCTCCACCAAATCCTCATGATCTTTCGACCATGATCTTTCGAAAAGGAAAAAAAAAATACATTCTTTTTACACCCATCATGAAATCATCCCAACTTTGCAGAGAACAATCGAATAAAATCTCTCTCATATAAGACTGTATGAATGTATGTATAGTTCCTTTGTCGTATGTATAGTTCCTTTCTTAAGAAAAAGGCCTTCTTTGTCTCTCGAGCGAGCGTAACTTCAAGCCTCTTGAGCAGCATCAGCGACACGAGGAGGGGGAGCCACTGGAAGAGCCCTGTACTTGTAGCAAGTCGCGCAGGCAATGTGGATGGCGAGGTTCCCCAGGCTGAGCACCGCGAGCATCCAGTAGAAGTTGTCAATCCTCCCCCTGTTGATGTTGTTGGAGATCCAGCCATGGCCGCTCCCCCCCGTCACCCTGTTGATGGTGGCCACCAGAAAGGAGCTCGCGAAGAAGCCCACCGAGATGGTGCTCATGAACATCCCGGTGGCCATGCTGCGCATCTCCTCGGGTGACTGGCTGTAGAAGAACTCGAGCTGGCCGATGTAAGTGAACACCTCGCTCACTCCAACCAGCGCGTACTGGGGGACCAGCCAGAAGATGCTCATCGGTACTGTGGCCTTTGGTCGATCGAGCAGCCCGTGCTCCCTCGCCAATGCCAGCCGCTTCCTCTCCACCATCGCCGCGATCACCATCGCCAGGCACGAGAAGATCATCCCGCCACCGATGCGCTGCAGCATGGTGATCTGGTTCCGCCGCAGGAGCTTCACGGCCGGGAGGAAGACTTGGTCGTAGAGAGGGGTGGCGATGATCACGCTCAGCTGGACGAACACTCCCAGCGATGCCGGAGGGAACTTGAAGTGCTTGCCGAGGTTCCTGTGCATGGTAGCACCCTGCTCCACCGCCAGCGTCGTCATCTGCGCGAAGACCGTGTACACGAGCACGGAGGTGGCGCATATCGGCAGGATCCGGATCAGCATCTTCACTTGCTCCACCTTGGTGACGCTACACAGCCTCCAGGGGCTCTGCTTCTCGCTGCTACTTCCGGTCTCCACGATTGCGGCCTTGTCCAAAAAGCTGGCAAGGAAAGATTTTGTAAAGCACGTTCTTTGTTCTAGAAAATCTCGTACCTCAAGCCACTGGTTCTAGTGAATCTGGCACTCTGCTGCCCCGGATCCTCGTATAAATCTTTCTCGTCTCCTGGAATGCCGTGTCGCTTGCGAAATGCGGCTACCAGGACGTGCGCAATGGAGACGATGGACGTCCCGTTGGGAGCTCTGTAGCGATAGAGTGGCGTCCCGGCGAGGAAGACGCATATCGCCATGAACATGGAGCCTGCGCTGCTGCCATATCCCCAGCTCCTCCCGACGTTGTCCTGGATGTAAATGAGCACCGTCACCGCCAGGAGAGTTCCGATGGATATCGCCACGAAGAACCAGTTGAAGAAATGCCCCATGCTGCGCCTCTCCTTGGCATCCGAGTCGTCGAACTGGTCGGCTCCAAAGGCGGACACGCATGCCTTGATGCCTCCCGTCCCAAGAGCGGTCATATACAAGGCCATGTAGAGCACCGCCAGTTCCATGCCTCGAGCTGGCTGGCAAGTTTTGTAGTCCTCGGCATTGCACTTGGAAGGCCTTAGCGACGGAATGCCGGCGGAGAGTGTGAGAAGCAGCATTCCCTGCTCGAGAAAAACTGGAAAAGTCAGCCTCTTTCTGTGGCATTTGAAGCGTGTGGAAAACATACCATGAACTGTACGAAGGAGAAGCTCACGATTGTCCAGAACCGGCCAAGGCAAGTGTCGGCCACGAATCCTCCGATCAGGCAGCACACGTAGGACGTGCCGAGGAAGTTGGTCACGATGTTTGGAGCTTGCGATGGTGAGAGATGCAACTCGGTGACCAAATAGGTGATGAGGTTGAGACCGATTCCGAGAGTGGCAAGCCTCTCGCAGAGCTCGGTTCCTGCAAGGGATCAGCAACAGTGTCCCTCTCATCAATCTCTGTAGCGTGAGAGTAAAGTTGCAAAAACACTCACGCACCTAGTATGAGGATCACCGACTTCCAGCCACCGGTTTGGCATTTCACAGCCGGCCTCCTCTTGTAGTCCATGGATCCATTTTGTAGGATTTCCTGCGACTCCGAGGATTTCTTCATTTCCTTTGCAGAGGAAAACCAGTTTAGACTAGATGGATGGAGCCAACGCGATGCAGCCAGCATAACCAAAGCAATTGCAAACTCACCAAGTTTTGGCTGCCAAGGATCTCACAGCGATCTTGTAGCTACATGCACAGACAACACCAACAAGCGACTTAAATACTGGAAGCTTGAGAGAAATCCAATGATCAAGTACCTGCATGAAGTGCGCGACACGCCCGGCAGATGTCTGAGCCTTGAATCATTCCGAACTTGGAGCCAGTTGGACTCCACATCCGATATGTGCAAGGAAAGATGAAAGCGGCATGTGAGAACTAGAAGCGCTTGCTTGCTTGCTTGGAAGAGTCACTCCAAAACCTGAAACAAATAAAGGTGCATCGGTACTGCCACGAAACGAAACTATAAAAAATACGAACAAAGAAGACATGAAAAAGGAAGAGAGAAACTACCATGGGAATATGTGGCCACCAATTCGTTGTGAACAGGAACACTAAACTCCGATTCCATTCGGCCACAGGGATCTGTCTCACAAAATTATTGCAGGTGGCCCAGGCATTACTGCTTACTTGGTCGTGTGAATTATTTTCCTCCCAGTCCCCCAGCCGAGAGAATGCTTCTTCTCATTTTTTCTCCTTTCCTTGTATGGAACGAAGATGGTTGCAAGACGGAAGTAAGCAGTCAAAGCTTGCAGGGCATGATTGGCTCTCTGTCGTCTTGAACATGGCTCGCTCGCTCGGCTCTCATCCAAAAGTTTTTGCGAGAAACAATCGAGCAAAGCGGCTGCCAAGCTTTCCGGGGACCTGTTTAGCGAATAAAACAAAGCACGTGTTATCAGGCGGAGCGATAATGCTTTGCTTACTGCGTGAGTTTGTGCTCCCTGTCCCATCGCACCACTGTTGTGTGTGTTGTGTGGGTGAGTGAGCTCCTCCTGTTCCAGAAATACTAAAGCATTTCTCTCGCTTGCCACCATTGCAAGATTCAGAGCAAGCACAAGCTTTCGAGCGCTATCTCAGTCCGACAAGGCTAAAAGAAAAGTGTTATGCGTAGACATTTACTCACCACTTTACAAAAGAGAAAGGAGGCAAGCAATATAGAGGCGAGCCCTCAGACAAACTTACTGAGATAGCCGTGTGCATCGGTAAAACTGGCGTCCGGGTATAGTTCATGCGCCACCACGTCATTCGGCCCCAGCTCGAAACCAAAAGTATCGCCTCTGATGTAAGCAGAGTACATGAGCGACAGTATGACGGCTTGGAAGCCTCCGGAGGATTCTGTGGAACAAGTGGGCTGAGTGTGAGCGTGGGCTGTCACAACATTCGAAGGCAAGGAAAACATGACCTCGTATGGATTCCAGCATTTCAACCTGCGACATCACCTCCTTTCTCAGTTGCCGCTTGGTTTCTCTCTCCAGGATCGCGACAGTCTCGTTCTGCGACAAGGCATTCGCAGGTGGTCTCATGTGTAGCGTCTTGTTTAATGCTCTTGGATCGGCAGCAGCCTTGACAGTGAAGGCTCCGATATCTTCCTCGGTAACAAAACTAGCTGCGTGCACACATAGCATCAGACAAGCCAGGAAGAAGAAAAGAAAAAAAAAGGAGAGAAGATGTATATACCTTTAATGTTTCCATCACCATATATGACGAACCTTTCGGGAGGAGAGAGTCGTCCATTCTCCTCTCGCATGTTGAAATGGAACTTTGCAAAAGCATTCGTGATAACGTACGTGAATGGGATTCCAGCGGCCTCTATGGCACGGCGAACGCGAATTTTTGGGTCGCTCAGCACCTCCTGGGCCGGCTTTAGACAAACCACCTTATCGACATCCTGGCCAAACTCCGATGGAACGAATCTCTAGTAGCACATAGCAAAAGAAAACAAAGAAAAAAACTCGCGTTAGCCTAAGTTACGAAGAAGAAAGAAGTACCTATGAGATGGGGGAGAGATCTTCTCTTTCTTTCGAGACCTTGACAGTTTTCTTCTCCTTCATGGCCTCGACGAGATTTAGCTGCTCTAGAATTTGAGGTATCCCGACGGCCGATATTACGATGTCCACATCTTCCAGGGCCAGCATCAAGCTCTCACGATCGTCAAGGGATCCCTGGATGGAGCAAGGGACAGGGAATCGATAGCCAGCCCGAAATCTATGATCCGACACTCACATTCTTGATGCTAATCCCTGCGGCGTGCAAGGATTCGATGGCCTTGTCCCTCCTTGGATTTGGCGCGGCCGCCGAATTGGCGCGCAGGAGCGCCGATGTCGAAAATCCGGCCGCGGCGCTGGCTAGGGCGATGTAGCGGCCAATGTAGCCCGTGGCCCCGATGACGAGCACGCTCTTGGAGACCCCGTCCATAGCTGGAATGGAACAAAACAAATTTTGTTTTATTTAAATATCATTATTAAAAACGAAATATTCAACTTACTTATTATAAATGAAACTTAATATACAACATTGTTATGGCTCTAGCGAAATACAACTACAAGGTGATTTTGTTAGTATTTCTAATTGATATAATATCTATGTGTGAATGTAATAATGCAACCATTAATGCCTATGGTACCACAATACATGTTATAAATAGAGTAGGTTCTCCACTAGAAGTACATTGCCAATCCAAGGATGATGATATCCAAAAGTATGTTATCCAGGATAGAGCAATGTATCCCCCTTTTACATTCAATGATAGATGGTTTGGCACAACTGAATTTTGGTGCAATTTAAAGATTGTAAGTGATGGGAAATCCAAAGTTATAACAGCATATAAACAAGGAAATCCTGAATATGGAGGTAAAGCTGGTGTTGAATGGCATGTTTTTGGATATGCAATATTTCAAACCCATACATCTCAAGGATGGTCTATACCTGTTAGAGCTTATGAATGGTAATTGTTTTAATATTATACTTTGATTAGCCATGATAATTTAATTGATATATATTTATACTAGCAAGAATCTAGCCTGGACTGAAATAAGTCTTTGAAGATGCTTTACTAGGATAAAAAAAATTATAGCTAGTAGCCATGTTGTAATATGGAATAAATTAGTGTATATTATATGCTACTAAGATCTATCATGGGCTGTTAAAGAATTTATTTCATCTATAAATTCTATAAGAGTGATAGTAATTATAATAATTTATTGCACATTGAATGCAGAAATGCTTGGTTTACTTAATAGTAGTGTCATTCTTATTTAATATTTTTGAATAATTCAATTGATCGATAATTATAAATATGTTTATAATTTATAAATCAAGATTAATCTTATTGCACCACTAGAATAAATAAAAATATACTAGGAAGTGTTTAGGAAAGGTATAAATTATTATAAATACAAGATTAATCTAAATAAATAGTTAGATGGTAGAATATTTAAAATAGCCAAGTATATTCTAGATATCTATAGGATTTTTTTAAGAAAACCAAGAAAATTATAAGAGAAATTGTTGTTTTAATTTTTTCTTCACAAATGAAACAAAGTATTAATACGTTTTTTATTCTTTAGAAAAAAAATTAAATAAGTATCAGAATAAATATAATTATTCACAGTGGTTAAAATTATTATATATTACCATTTTTTAAGAGTATTGCCACAATTTGATTATCTTACAACATGCAGTTTTAAATTAAATATTTGCCAAAGAAGGTATTTGAGTCCTCTAAGCCGCTTGAGAGTGAATGTATTTACATCACCAATTTCAAAGTTGTTATAAGTCAAAATTTATCAATAGATGTTGTGTTTCAAACTGATAAAATTCATGCTTAATTTAATATTAATTTATAATTACATTATTATAATATTTATACTTATATTAATATTAGTATTATATTAATTTCCTATGCTTTGGATTTGTAATCAAGTTCAGGGCTCCGCTCTCAGTGCTGGCAAGAATTTTCAATTTACATCCAGGAGAAATGTAGCTGCCCAGCGAGCCCCAGCTCCTCGATGCGTTACAACAAGCTCGGCAACTCAGAGCTCATTGTCAGCAAAGTCACACTGGGAAATGTAAGCTGCACTTGTTTTTTTGCTTGGATTTTGATTGATCAAGGCTTTCTTGTAGATGACCTGGGGGGTCCAAAACAGCGAGGCAGATGCTCACGAGCAGCTAAGCTATGCCTTCAAGAATGGGATCAACATACTCGACACTGCCGAGATGGTATAGAGTGAAATGCAATGCTTTGGTATTATCTTGGGAAGTATCTTACATGGTTTGTCTGATAGTATCCTGTTCCTTTGTCCAAAGAGACAAGGGCGGACAGATCGCTACGTTGGCAAAAAACCAATCACGCAAGGTAAGCTCTAGATTTCTTAATGCTTTTGTTTGCCTAGTTTATCTTTTTCTCCTTTGTCTTTTTACTTTTGCTGCGTGTTGGTTTCTGCAGGTAATAATCGCGACTAAAGTTTCAGGCTATTCCGATCGATCATCTTACCTCCGCGAGAGTTCTTGGCGAGTTTTTCTATGATATATGGAAGTGGCAAGAGAGCGTGTCGTTCGAGGAGCAACTGGAAGCTCTCAACTCGGTCATTCAAGAGGGAAAGGTTCTCGCTTGTTGATTCATCTTTCTCACGATACTCCAGGTTCGCTACATTGGTGTCTCAAACGAAACATCGTTTGGTGTCATGGGATTCACCGATGCTGCAGAGAAGCTCGGCCTTCCCAAGATCGTGAGCATCCAAAACAGCTATAGCTTGCTTGTTTGCTGCCGCTTCGAAGGAACAAACTATTAATCTGGTGAACTTCGTCTGCCAACTTTTCCTGTGAACAGTCTACTTAAGCCATCACAAAGTACTGCAACGTCGGACTACTGGTGTACTCTCCACTGGCTGGCGGTGCATTGAGTGGAAAGTCTGCCAATCCTGACAGCCCTGCTGCGAAGTGAGGACGATTGAACATGTTTCCTGGATACAGGGAACGATATCATACATCTCTTGCACAGGTCCGTCATGACAAGCTTCCTGAAAGAGAAAAGGTGGATCAACCTAAGGTCTGGTGTTAAGTATTTCAAACCCGTACATCTTGTTTTATATATATATGAATATGAAAGGTTCATGACATTGAAATTTTTTTTGCTACGCATTGCATGTAGCAATGTTTGGTTTACTCAATATTAGTGTTATTCCTATTTATTAATCCAATTGATCAAATAAAAGTTTACTATAACACAAGATTAATCTTATTACATATCAACCATTAGATGGCAGAATAAAAAAGAATATATTAAAAAGTGTTTAAGAAAATTTATAAACATGTTTATAAATTATAATTACAAGATTAATCTAAATAAATAAGAACTGTTAGATGGTAGAATATCCTTGAATATTCAAGCATAATCTAGGTATATTCATTACCATACAGATTTGCTTCAGCAAACCAAAAATAGATATTAGTATTGTATTTAAATTTAAAATAAAATTTATTTATAAATTACACCTAAAATATTATAGAACATTGCTTATAATTACACTCAAAGGGATTTTATAGTAATAATGAAAATTTTAATATGAATATACATTATAAAGTAGTATATATATATATATAAAATCTTTTACTAAAATCAACCTTTTACTAAATCGAATAATTCTCCCAAATAAAAATGAATCCATGCAAGGTTTAAAGCTTAGGGCTTGCCATGGCTACCGTGGCTCCTCCTCCTCCATTGCAAGCTCTCAATGCTGGCAGGAATTTTCGATTTACATCCAGGAGGAATGTAGCCGCCCGTGCGAGCGCCTCGATGCGCTACAACAAGCTCGGCGACTCGGAGCTCGTCGTCAGCGAAGTCACGCTGGGAACTGTAAGTTGCACTGTTTTTTTTTGCTTGGATTTTGAGAGTGTCAATCCATCGCGCTGCTTGCGGCTTGCTTGTAGATGACCTGGGGGGTCCAAAACAGCGAGGCCGACGCTCACGAGCAACTAAGCTATGCCTTCGAGAATGGAATCAACATACTCGACACTGCCGAGATGGTATAGAATGCTTTGGTATTATCTTGGGAAGTATCTTACATGGCTTGTCTGACAGTATCCTGTTCCTCCGGCGAAAGAGACACAAGGGCGGACAGATCGCTACATTGGCTCCTGGCTGAAAAACCAATCGCGCGACAAGGTAAGCTCTAGATTTCTTGATGCTTTTGTTTGCCTAGTTTATATTTTTCTCCTTTTTCTTTTTACTTTTGCAAACTATCTTGTTGGCATGCGTGTTGGTTTCTCCAGGTAATAATCGCGACTAAAGTTTCAGGCTATTCCGATCGATCATCTTACCTCCGTGAGAGTGGAAAGACTGTGAGAGTCGACGCAGCAAACGTGAAAGAAAGTGTGGAGAAGAGCTTGCTGCGCCTCGGGACGGACCACATTGATCTTCTACAGATACACTGGTATGGTTCCTCTATCTTTTTGTTTGCTTCTTCTCCTATATAGTTTGATTCAGGCCTGATCGATACGTGCCCCTCTTTGGCGAGTTTTTCTACGATGTATCGAGGTGGCGAGAGAGCGTGTCGTTCGAGGAGCAACTGGAAGCTCTCAACTCGGTCATTCAGGAGGGAAAGGTTCTCGCTTGAAAGCTTGTTTTGATTCATCGTTCTCACGATACGCCAGGTTCGCTACATTGGCGTCTCAAATGAAACATCGTTCGGCGTCATGAGATTCACTGATGCTGCGGAGAAGCTCGGCCTTCCCAAGATCGTGAGCATCCAAAACAGCTACAGCTTGCTCGTTCGCTGCCGCTTGGAAGGTACAAACTCGCATCCAATCAATCTCGTGGACTTCGTCTGGCAACTCTTCCTGTGAACAGTCGACTTAACGGAGGTGTGTAGCCATCACAACTGCAACGTTGGATTGCTGGCGTACTCTCCACTGGCTGGCGGTGCGTTGAGTGGAAAGTACGCCAATCCTGACAGCCCCGCTGCGAAGCGAGGACGATTGAACGCATTCCCTGGATACATGGGACGATATAAGACATCTCTTGCACAGGTCGGTCATGACAAGCTTCCATCATACTTACGCGATGTGTGTGCCGTTTTTGTTCGCCAGGAAGCCGTAAACAAATACGTGAGCCTCGGCGAGCAGCACGGCTTAACTCCAGTCCAGCTTGCTCTCGGATTTGTGCGCGATCGTCCCTTTGTGACCAGCAGCATCATTGGTGCCACGACGATGGACCAGCTCAAAGAGAACATCGATGCCTTCCAAGTTCCGAGGCCCCTTCCGGAGGAAGTTACCGCAGGAGTAGAGGAGATTTTCAAGCGCTACAAAGATATAAGCATATGAGCGTCGGGTTTTCTTCTTTAAAGAAGGCTTACCATTCAGTTTCCCAGGCTGCTTATTTGAGCTAGCATCGACGTGACGAAGTCCATAGTTGGCCGGTGCTCGCGCTGCTCGCTGCTACAGAGAATGCCGAGCCGGAAGAGTTCTCTTGCCACCGGGAACTCGAGAGGCTCTTCCTGAGACAACAGTGTTGGATCCAGCAAGATTTCCAGATTTGGAAAGCTGGAACGAGCCCAGTCGTGAAGGGTGCTCCCGTCTTTAAACATGCTATTCGTGGGTCGCTTGCCCGTGAGCATTTCCAGAAGGATGATTCCATAGCTGTAGACATCGGTCTTCGCGCAAAGCTTGTTCGAGACCGCTAACTCTGGAAACTCGAAGCATCGAAAAAGTTTAAAAAGAAGCTGTAAAGCGTACCTGGTGGCATGTAGCCAAGGGAGCCTCTCAACTCCGACTTGGAATCCTCGTAGGCATTAACAGCTTGCAAGAGTCTGGCCGCTCCAAAGTCTCCGACGTGCGCTTCCATCTCGTCATCCAGGAAAATGTTGCTCGGCTTCAAGTCTCCGTGAACGATTGCTTCGCCGGCATTGAGTTCGTGGTGGAGGTATCGAACAGCGTAAGCCACTCCGAGAGCAACCTTCAGCCTTTGTTTCATGGTGAAAACCTTAACCTTCTCGGAAACGTCATGGAGATGTGAGTCGAGTGTTCCATTCGGCATGAGATCAAACACAAGTGCCTTACAGTCGTCCTCCCAGCAGACCCCGAGAAAACGGACCAAATTCCTGTGCTTAATTCTGCTCAAGGCTTCAATTTCCGTTGCCGAGTTCCAATCATCCTTGCGAGGCCTGAAAACTTTGATGGCCACACACTTTCCATCCCGGGCTAGCCTGCCTTTGTAAACAGTGCTCGAAGCGCCTGTTCCGATTATGTTTTTGGCGTCGAAGCCTTGGGTGGCGGTCCAGAGCTCGCTTTTTCTCATGCTTGACGAGATCGAGCAAAGTTTCTGCTCGCCAGCTGCTTCTGGAGTTCTGACTTTCCATTTGTAGTAGTAGAGGAACGCAAACCCAACCAGAAGTACGACGCAGCCAATGGCCACGCCTATCAAACCAAGTATCAACCCGCGATGCCAACCAATTACCATCTTTCTCTGCACAAGCCCGCTTTCTAGAACTTGGGAGCAGGGCAGGTTGAGGTACTTGTTTCCGATATATGAATCGCAGCCGAAAGTAGAAAACTGGCCTTTGGAGGGAACTGTTCCTGAGAGATTGTTGTAAGAAACGTTGAAGTATCCCAGCTTAGTAAGATTGACGAGAGTCTCCGGAATTGAGTCAGATAGTGTGTTCCTTGTCAAGTCTAGGCCCTCAAGCACTGAAAGTCTTCCAAAACTAGCCGGGATCTTTCCACTGAACCTGTTTCCCGAGAGTGTCAGGTACATGAGCCGCTGCATGTTACCAAAAGAGTCCGGAAGCTCTCCCTCTAAAAAGTTGCTGGAGAGATCGAGAAAACTTATCTGGTATGGCATGCTATCATAACGACGAAGCTGTCCTTTCAGATTGATAAGTACGTCGTTTACCATTGGCAAGCCAAGTAGCGGCAATGGCAACCTTGGAAGGGGAATGATTCCCAAGCCCGTCATATCTATGTCACGAGAGAGTTGTCCAGAGAACCTGTTGTGTGAAAGATCTATTCCAGAGAGGAAAGCCGAAAAGCTCCCAATCCAGTTTGGAATTGATCCATCGAAGGCGTTCGACCTGAGTAGAAGAAGGTTGAGATACCGCAGCCTGTTTATACCCGTCGATTCCAGCTTCCCTGTAAAACTGTTTTCGCTCAGTTCTAGAACAGTTAACACTGTCAAGTTTCCTAAACTCTCTGGGAGTTCCCCGCCTAGCCTGTTACCCCGAAGCATTACCGTACGCAAGCCAACCAAGTTGCCGAGTTCCCATGGAATAGTCCCTCGAAAAGAATTGCCATTGAGATTTAGCACACTTAATCCGCTGCAGTTGCTTATGTAGCCTGGTATGCTGCCACCGATGTCATTGTGTGACAAGTCTAAAACTCCAAGATTGCACTGCTCGTTAAAACGCAAGTCTTCCAGAGTTCCTGTTAGCCAGTTGTTGGATAGTTCCATGGATGTCAAACCGGTCATGTTGTGGCCTAGTGCTGGTAGAGAGCCTGTGAACTGATTCATAGAAAGATCTATTCTCTCCAAAGTGGATAAGCTCAGCAAACCTGGAGGCAAGCGTCCATAGAGCTGGTTGGCGTGCAAGTCCAACTCTGTTATGCTCTGGAAACAATTGGGAGTTAACGAGAAGTCCGAGTTGAGATAGTTACGTGAAAGCCTGAGAACACTTAGCCTTGTGAGGTTGCATATAGTTGGCTGGAGCGGCCCATAAAACTCGTTTGTTGAAAGATCAAGTTCCTGTATCCTGGAGCTGCTGGCGAAACGAGGAAGAACGCCGCTAAGTGAGTTATTGGCTGCTGAGAGTACTCTCAAGCTCGATAAGTTTGCTATGACATCCGGCAATGTACCTGTGAGGTTGTTACTTGATAGATCCAAAACCTCGATCTTATTGCCTTGAAGTGGTGGAATAGGACCTTCCAAGTTATTGGCATACAGGACTAGGCTCTTGAGAAGTTTAAGCTGGACGAGAGAGGCTGGGATTTTCCCACTCAGGGTGTTTTGGAAGAGAAGAAGCTCAGTAAGATTTTTCAAGGATCCTAGACACGGAGGGATGGGACCAAAGAGGGAGTTTTGACTCATATCCAGTTCTGTCAAGCGTTCTAGCTCACATAACTCCGATGGAATCTCAAGCATCAAGCCACACTTAGTCAGTTGAATGGTGGTAAGATGCAAAAGCCTGGAGACACAAGCTATGGATCCTCGAAACAAATAACTCTCTATAATATGGAGCTGTTCGAGATGGAAGAGACTGCAAACCGTGTCCATGGGGATCGAGGCATTGACACTGTAAAACTGAAGAAACACCAAGCTAGGAAGATCACGGGGACCACAACTTGGAAGAAAGGACTCCGACGAAAACGAGTAGAGATCTAGATGCTCGAGGCTAGCAATCCCGCAAGAGCAAGAGGGGAGGGAATTCTCACCACCAACGACGGACAAGCTTACCAGCCATGGAAAATCACAAACTTGCCTGGGGATGATTCTCGCATCCTTCGCATACAACTCCAAGGATTTAACATGCCCCGACCGATCGCAGGAATAGAACACACCGATGCGTGATTGCATCAGGGCCGCGAGAGCATTCTCCTCGCCGGCGTCCAAATCGCACAGGTGGATCGTCAAGGAGTGGCAGCTGCGCAGAATGGCTATCACAAGGAGAAGGGCCGCCCCCATTAGACGCAAGATCTTCCCTATCGATCCCTATCGACCATCGCCATGGACCTAACGAGAGCCGAGGGGAGTCTTCGTGGCCATCGTCCACCGCATCGCTACAAGGCGAGAAAGTGCTTACCCTAAATTCCAGCATATTCTTAGAGACATTGGCGCGAAACTTTGAATTCTACTTGAGCCCTAAACCCAGAATATGCCGACGTCATTGGCGCGCTTAAATGTGTCACGGTGGGATGAAATATTTTAGGTCGCGCAGCTTCGCGCTAGGGCGGCGAGCCAGGCTCGATCGATTCGGTGCGGAGAAGCTGCCGCCATGGCGTGGGCGTCGACGCCCAAGGTCGTCCTCGGATGCTTCGCCTTCGGTGTCTTCTGGATCATGGCGGTGGTGCCCGTGGTGCCGTTCTTGCCGATCGGGAGGACTGCCGGGTCGCTGCTCGGCGCTTGCCTCATGGTCGTCTTCCAGGTTCTCTCGCCGGCCGAGGCATTCGCGGCCGTGGATCTGCCGATTCTGGGGCTCCTCTTCGGCACCATGGTCGTAAGCGTCTATCTGGAGAGGGCCGACGCGTTCAAGTACCTGGGCCACGCCCTCTCGTGGCGGAGCCTCGGCGGCAAGGATCTACTATGTCGGCTTTGCCTCCTCTCGGCGCTGTGTAGCGCGCTCTTCACCAATGACACCACCTGTGTCGTGCTCACGCAGTTTGTTCTTGAGGTATGCAGAGAAAAGAAGCTCCCCCCTCAGCCCTTTCTGATTGCTCTTGCTTCCAGTGCCAACATTGGCTCCGCGGCCACCCCGATCGGCAATCCACAGAACTTGGTGATCGCCGTGGAGAGCAAGATCGCGTTTGGCAAGTTTTTGGGTGGGGTGGTGCCGGCCATGGTCCTGGGACTCATTGCAAACACGCTGCTCTTGCTGGCTTACTACTGGAAGAAGCTGCGAGGTGTGGACGAGGACGCTGAGAGTAGTGACATCTCGATCAAACTAGAGCAGCAGCGGCCGGAGATGGAGCTGCTCAATTCTGGATTGAGCTTCACTCAAGAACAACGAATCCAGCAGCAAGATCATCGACAAGAACCAAAACAGCAGGACAGTTCTTACCAAACTCCAGACCTGGAAGGACAAGCAGCTGATACACCCGACCTTGGAAAGAGTGTAGCAGCATCTACTAGCACACCCGACGGACAATTGACGCAAGAAGCTGGAGCTCCTCCGCTGCCTAGATCAATTTCGTCGTCCCGCCACCTTCAACGCCCGTCGCTCATTGCCATCAACGAGATCCTGCGGCTAGAGCCGAGAGGTTCTGGGCACTTCCAAGTTCCTCCTCGCGTCGAGCTTCAGGACACTCCACAGGCAAGTCTCACTCGGTTTCAAAGACTCCGGAAGAAGGTCTGGAAGGTGTCCGTGTATCTGGTGACGATCGGCATGCTGGTGGCGTTCCTTTACGGCTTGGATCTCTCATGGACGGCCATCACCGCGGCGATTGTTCTCATGGTGTTGGACTTCACGGATGCTAGTCCGAGCCTCGACCAGGCAAGCACCAAACTTTTCTATCTTTTTCTTAGGTGGTACTTACTTGCGTCACTGGTTACACCAGGTATCATACTCCCTGCTGGTATTCTTCTCGGGGATGTTTATAGCAGTGCGTGGTTTCAACCGGACTGGCGCTCCTGGACAACTCTGGGACGCCGTCGAACCACACGCTCGCATCAACACGGCTGCTGGAATTGCAATTCTGTCCGCGGTGGTAATCCTCCTCTCCAACGTTGCATCAAATGTGCCTACAGGTAAGTTTGGAAGGAGAGCATTCTTCTTTGCTCATGATCTCTTCTTTTTGGATTTCATTCTAGTTCTTCTCTTGGGTGCTCGAGTAGCAGCCTCGGCCGCCGCAACCGAGGGAGCGAGCGTGAAGAAAGCGTGGCTGATCCTCGCCTGGGTGAGCACCGTGGCTGGAAACTTGACGCTGGTTGGATCGGCGGCCAACATAATCGTGAGCGAGCAGGCCAGCAGAATGGAGGAGCATCCATACAATCTCTCCTTCTGGAATCACTTGAGATTTGGAGCTCCTGCAACGTTCATCGTCATCGCTGTTGGCCTCCCACTCATTCAAGGATGAGAACTTGATTGATTGATCCACAATGGTAGACGAATTTTTACATTCTTCTTTTCGATACATCTGCATCATTCTTTATCATTTTACCAGTTTGGAGCTCGATCGTTCCAAAGATCTCAAATAGTTTGCCAGTTTCGAGCTAGATCGTTCCAAAGGTAATCCAAATCTGGGAATTTTTTGGAAGACTAGCAATCAATACGATGCCGATAGATATTTCTTTATTTTACTTGCGTGGATACCGGTGTTTCGCTTACGTGGAGGACGGGCTTGGCAAAAATAGTGACTAGCACTGGGGTTTCCAGTCTCATCTCCGAGTGTGTAGCATTCCGGATTCTAGGGTTCTTCTTTGTTCCAGGTGGGGTTTCGATCGCCCATCGCGATGGACGACAGCAGCGGCAACAACAAGAAATCCGATGTCCCCACCGATTGGGAGCTTCTCTCCATGTCCATGACAGGATCTTCCGCGGCGGACCTCAAATCTGCCCTAGCAGCTGCCGAGGCGGCGCCGTCCCACGATTCTTCCAGCGGCGTGGCGGATCTCACTCTGCATTCGCAATATTTCGGCCAGGCGGTGGGCGGCGGCTCGGCTCCGGGCGAAATCTTTGCTCTCGGCGGGGATGTGGCGAAGCAGGAGGATGTCGCCGCCGCCGCTGCGGCCAAGGCCAGCGAGATATCCAGCGGCACGGCGGAGATCGAGCAGCAGATTCTCGTGTCGTCGCTGTCCAGCCCCAGGAGCGGCGAGACCGCCCCCCTGGAATTCGGGGACTCCGGCCAGGGCTCGCGCGAGATCAAGAGCGAGGGAGGAGTTGTCACGGCGGAGATCGTCGCTGCCGCCACCATTGTCAACAAGACCCCTGCCAAGGATAAGAGTGGGGGCAAAGAATGGATCAAGAGGAGGCTCCAGTTTGTGGCAAAGAAGGTGAACAGGAGTAGCACCCTCTGGTCGATTGTGGTGGTCGCCACCGTCACCGGCATGATCATCATTGGAAGACGATGGTACCAGGAGCGTTTGAAGAACTTGGAACTGGATATGGAAGCATTGAGCGCGGAAGAGGTACTAGTTGCATTTCTTCCTTTTTCTCCTTTCCCTTTCACATTGTTTACTAAGAGTGTCGTTGTTCTTTCTTTTTGGGTCGTGAATTCCAGAAGATCAACGACGTAGCCACCGAATTTCCAGAGTTTAGCGAAGAAACGCCAGCCGGGAGTGAAGCAGCAGCCGAGCCGACGTCGCTGTTTGGGATCCTGCGTGAGATCTGGTGATCAATCTCCACAGAGAGAGGGTGAAAAAAGAATAGCGAGGTCCTCGCTCCAAGCTGTACAGGTCTCTTTTTTTAAGCATGCTCTTAGAAACTCTTTGATTTGATAGTAGCATTGTGGAGAATATTTTCAACTTCATAACGAATATTCACATTTTCCTCTTTGCATTTTTAGTAATAGCAGTGTTTAGGGTTCTTGGGGGAGTGAGTATGCTTCATGGCGGGCAGCAATGGCGAGCGATTCTTCCTCTCTTCCGATATCAATCTGCCCGTCACGCTGCGCGTCGAGTCGCTGGAGGGCGATCTCCAGCGGTACACGGAGGCTACTCTCAAGAATGCCACGGATTTCGCGTTGGCGGAGCACAGCCCTGTCCCTGATTTGTTCGTGGAATGCTCGCTCTACATCGATGGCGTGCTCTTCGGCCTGCCGACCAAGACGCGGTAGGAAAATATTTCGAATTCTTTCTCTCTGTGTCTGATGTAGCTGTCCATAGTTTGGCACCGATCGAGAAGCCATACAAATGGAACGAGATGATCACGCTCAGCGCCAAGTACAGAGATTTGACGGCCACTACGCAGCTGACATTCACTGTAAGAAATTTCCTTTTCTTTCTTTGTTCTTTAAGGAAGAGTCTTGAGCAATGGAGAAAAAATCCTTGCAGGTCTGGGACGTCTCGTACCCAAGGCAAGAAGTTGCTGTCGGTGGTGCAAGCTTTCGGATTTTCAGCAAGAAGAAAGAGCTCAAGACTGGCAAGCAAAAGCTCCGGCTGTGGCGTGGTAGGATCGCTGATGGAGCAGTCGTTAGTAGCACGCCAGGCAAGGTGAGTTTTCAGCTCTTTCTTTCTCTTCTTGACGAGCAAGTAAGTTGCAGGTTCCGAAGCATGAAAGGGGAGAGCTGGAAAGGCTTGACAAGGCTCTCAATAAATACGAGAGAGGCCAAATCGAACGTATAGATTGGCTGGACAACTTGACTTTCAAAGCCATCGACCGAATCAAAGAGGAAGAAAGCAAACGGATCGGTCAGAAGAACTTGCATTTGGTCGTGGAGCTTCTATCGTTTATGCATCCTGTCGCATTCCAGGTTTGTTGTGATGTGTTCTTTCTCTTTTCGGGCTCTGATGTTTTCTCTTCGAACAGGATTTAGTGCTCCAATCCCCTAGACATCAACTGGTTGTGATACCTGATCCAGAAGTTGGTCGTCAAAATCCTTGCGAGAACAAGCAAATAAAACTGGCTCGTCATGTGACAAGAGGCGTCATTGATCACGAACTAAAGCCCAGCGTCACGGATCGGAAGTATGCTTTAGAGCTTGTTCCTGATTACTATTTCTCACAACTCGGGTGTATGATGCAGGGAAATAGCGCGAATTTTGCAGTACCCCCCTACAAGAAATCTGAACGGAGAAGAAAGACAGACGCTGTGGAAATTCCGGTTCTCGTTAACGGGGGAGAAGAGAGCGCTCACCAAGTTCTTGAAATGTGTTGACTGGAGCGATGCAACGGTATTAGCTAGTTGTTATTGTTTATCTATAACTACTTTTGGTGCAGGAAGCAAAGCAGGCATTGGAACTAATGCACAAGTGGACTACGATTGACATCGCTGACGCGTTGGAGCTTTTATCGCATGCTTTTGAAAGTGAGGAGGTTCGAGGCCACGCAATTGACGTGCTCGAGAGGACCGGCGATGAGGAACTGCAGTCGTATCTATTCCAACTCGTGCAGGCCCTACGCTTTGAGCGATCTGACAAGTCCCGCCTTGCGAATTTTCTGGTTCAAAGAGGTAAGCATTGCGTATTTTTTAGTTTTACACTATTTGTTTCTTGCAGCTGTCCACAATACTGAGCTAGCAAACTTCTTGCGGTGGTATCTCAACGTAGAACTTGCCGACGTCATATATGCGAAGCGTTTTTGGTTGGTCTTGGAGCACTTCAACGAGTCCGTTGCTCCTCCAATGGCTGCTCTGCTACATCATCAGTCTGAGCTGCTTGCGAAACTTTGCACTATCGCACGGGATGTAAAGAATGTCCGCGGAAATTTACAGAAGAAGATCGACAGGTTGCGGGAAATGCTTCAGGGGATTATGAACGAACTCACATCTTTCGAAGCTTTGCCTTTCCCGTTGGATCCCACAATTATGCTCATCGGTATTTTACCGGCCGAGTCATCCGTATTCAAAAGTAACCTCAGTCCGCTGCGATTGACATTTCGGACCGTCGAGGGTGGCAAGTGCAGAGTGATATTCAAGAAAGGGGACGATCTGCGGCAAGATCAATTGGTACGCAATTTCAAATGTTTAAGTGTTTTGATCATCGCTTTATTGTCAAACTTACAGGTGATTCAGCTCATAACGCTCATGGACAAGCTGCTTAAGTCTGAAAACCTTGACTTGCAGCTAACTCCTTACAGAGTTCTCTCCACTTCGCACGAGGAAGGTATGGTGGAATTTATACATTCTACACCTTTGGCTCAGGTAACCGTGATTCATGTGCATTCTCTTGTGTTTCTGACGATTCTTACAGGTTTTGGCCGAGAACAAGACGATCATCCAGTTCTTTAAACAGTTCCATCCCGATGAAGAGGGCCCATTCGGGATAAGTTCTCCTTGCCTTGAAACCTTTGTCAAGAGCTGTGCGGGATACTGTGTTATAACGTACATACTCGGTGTTGGCGACAGGTACTATTGAATGCTGTTTAAAAATTATTGACGTTTTTTCCTTTTCTATGCAGGCATCTTGACAATCTACTTCTCCAGCAGGATGGAAGGCTCTTTCATGTCGACTTCGGTTTCATTCTTGGAAGGGATTCAAAACCGTTTCCCCCTCCAATGAAGCTATGTAAAGAAATGGTGGAAGCTATGGGCGGAATGGACAGGTTTGTTAGTGGTAAAGCTGCTACTTGGATGATTTCATTGGGTACTCTTTACAGCCAACATTATTCGAAGTTCAAGATGTACTGCTGCGAGGCTTACAATATACTGCGCAAATCAAGCAATCTCATATTGAACCTTCTCTTTCTCATGTCGGGGGCCAATCTGCCTGACATCTCCTCTGATCCAGAAAAGGGAGTCTTAAAAGTATACCCTCGCCCGTTCATCTTTCCGGTACTGAGCTTGCTCGTTTTGTTTTCAGCTTCAAGAAAAGTTCCGCCTCGACCTGGATGACGAAGAAGCCGTTCAGTTCTTCCAGACGCTCATAAACGACAGTGTCAGTGCGTTGTTTCCTCAGATGGTAGAGACGATCCATCGGTGGGCACAGTACTGGCGGTAGCGGTAAAACTCTGTACATGATTTGTAAATTGACACATGCGTTTTGTATCCATCGAAGCTCTCGCTCGCAGTTTGAGACGATGCGGAGACCTGAAGGACCTCTCTCAGGGGAAGAGAATTCATGACTTCATCTCCAGCGGCAGCAACAGAGGAAACATCTACCTAGCCAACCTTCTCATCGAAATGTACAGCAAGTGTGGATGTTTACAGGATGCAGTCCAAGTGTTCGATAGTATCACAGAGCCGAACACGTACTCCGTCAACTTGATGATGAAGGCGTATGCCCAGAACCGGTATCTGGACAGGGTGAAGCACTTGTTCGACGGCTCGTCCGAGAGGAACATTGCAACCTGGAACACAGTTCTGGTGGCCTATGCTCAGGCAGCGTATATGGAGGAAGCCGAGCGCTTGTTCTACAGGATGCCACTGGTGGACACAGTAACTTGGACTTCAGTGCTGCAAGCATTTGCCAGGCAGGGACTGGTGGTGGAAGCCAAGAGCATTTTCGACGACATGCCCGAACGCAACGAGGTGTCCTGGAACGCCATGCTCTCGGCTTTTGCCAGCGGCAGCCGGTTCTACGATTGTCAAGCTGTGTTTGAGAACATCCCGATGAGGACGGTGGTGTCTTGGAACTCGATGCTGGCCTTGTCTGGTTCGGGAAAGAGCAGTGTGGAAGACACGAAGAGGTTGTTCGAGCAGATGCCCGAGAGAACAGTGGTTTCGTGGACCTCGGTGGTGCAAGCTTATGTTCTTCGCGACGACTATGAATCGGCCAAGATGGGATTCGACAGGATGGTGGAGCACGACGTGGTGTCGTGCACGGCGATTCTGGCTGCTCTCGTCCAGCGCAAGGAGCTCGAGCAAGCCAAGGAGATGTTTGACAGGCTGCCGGAGAGAAACTCGTTTACGTGGAACGTTTTGCTGGCAGGGAATGTTCAACATGGCCATCTCCAAGAGTCGCAGAAGATTTTTGAGGCGATGCACAGCCGCGATGCTGCTTCCTGGACCGGCTTGCTCCAGGCCTTCGCTCTCGCAGGCCGCCACGACAAAGCCAAGGCGGTGTTTGAGAGAATGCCCTGCCACCCGGCTATGGCTTGGAACGCAATGGTGACGGCCTTCGGCTTGAAAGGAAGCCTGCAAGAAGCTCGAGAGGCCTTCGACTCGGCTCCACACCGATGCCTGGTCTCGTGGACGGCGATGGTGGGAGCTTACGCTCTAAACAAGCACGGGAGAGATGCCGTCCAAGCGTTCCAGGAGATGGAGCTCCAGGGGATGGAGCTGGACGAGGTGGCCTTCATCACCATCCTCAGCTGCTGCAGCCATGCCGGGCTCGTAGACGTGGGACTCGGCTGCTTTCGCTCCATGCTCGCGGACCACGACGTGGCGGCGACGAGAGACCATTACTGCTGCATGGTGGACATGCTGGCCCGAGCTGGCCGGCTGGACGAGGCCGTGGATGTGATCGACGCTACTCCGTATGATCCCGACTCGGTGACACTGGAGGCGTTGCTGGGAGGCTGCGGAATGCACAAAGACGTCGGCCGGGGACAGCAGGCGGCCGAGTTTCTTCTTTTCGGATCCAAGGAGCTGAGAACGTCGGCGGTGTTTGTTCAGCTCGAAAACGCTTTCAAAGCCTCGGCAGCCGGTCAGAGAAGGTAGGATAGCCAGGTGGGAAAAACTCGAGCTTTCTTTTCAAGGGAATCTCTCGACTTTTTTCGGAGCTTGAGAGTACAGGGGACAGCTCTATCGTGGCAGCTGGGAAACGCTTGCAAATCTATGCGATAGCTCTTCAGCAAGGTGGTAAGAACTTTGAAGCTGGTTAACGCACACAGGCTGCAAAACTCGAGCTTTTTTTTCAAGGTGGTCGAATCTTTCGGAGCTTGAGAGTACAGGCGAAGATCTATCGAGTCAGCTGGGAAACGCTTTCAACTCTATGCCATAGCTGGAGCTTCTCATCAACAAGGTGGTGATAGCTTTACTGGTTAACGCACACAAGCAGGCTTCTCGGCTAAGCTAGTTAGATCCGATTGGCAGCCCGTGTGTGGATCCACCAGAGCAAGTTGGAGGCCGAGTTGCCGTCGTCAAACTCCTTGAGCTGCCTGGCGTGGTGGAGAGCAGTGGCGGGGTCGTAGCTCGCCTGGAGCGCGAAGACGAACCCCTTCCAGCCGTCAGAGGCCTCGGGCCGTGAGTCCATAGCCGCAGACGCCCACTCCACCACCTCCCTGGCGAAGCCGGTGTCCGAGAAAAGCACCTCGGTCACCGGCGTCACTGGCAGCACCTGGATGCCCAGCCGGACCTCCAGCCACTCGGGCGGACCGAACCAGAGAGCCGTGTCGCGCTTGTTGGCCCAGAGCACCCCGATCATCCGGTTGCGCGCCACAAACTCAGCCTCGTACAGCTCGCTGCCCAGCGGTACGTGCCACAGCGACTGCGCGGCGTGCGTCTCGAAGGCCACCAGCGTGACGCCGAGCTCGGCCAGCGCCGCGTCGTGGAAGGCGGAGCCCAGCAGCGACGCCGCGTAGTACGAGTTGACGGCCTCGCTGGTGCTCTCCTGGTTGCGGCCGTCGGCGAAGTTCTTGAGCCCCGCGGCCCACGAGTGCATGAGCCAGTGGTCGAAGTGGCGGAGGCGGGGGTACCGCGCGGCACTGCCCGAGTTGTGCTGCGAGGTACCGTGCTGCATGTAGTCGGACACGAGAGAGTAGAGCTGGCAGCGGTGCTGGCTCCCCCACTCCGGGTCCATTCTTGCGAGCACGGCTCCCGCGTAGACGAAGTAGCCCCAGTGGAAGTGGTGATCGTTGTACATTCCAAGGCCAAAGTCGGCACCACTGTCGGCAGCACCGTCGCTGCTCACGAGGCCTCCCCACTGGCGATCATAGCCAATGCTGTTACTCATGTTTGGATTGACAGCGTGGTTACTGTCCAGCCACTGCGCGAGCGAGTTCCTCAAGGTGGCGGCAATCCTCCCCGTCAAGTCAGGCCTGGCCACCTCCTCGGCTATGAGCGCGAGCCGTGCGGCACGGGCAGCGGCCTTGCCGAAGAAGTACGTGGACGAGTTCACTATGACGCCCGGGAGGTCGTCCACGTCCCGCTGCAGCGCGGCGCTGATCTCGTGTGCCGCCGCTGGGTCCGCACGGAGTCCGCGCGGTGAATGCCAGCTGACGTTGGCACCGCCCGCCCGGAGTGTCCACGTGGAGCCCACCACGCCTTCCATCTGACCGTCGATGCTGTTGTACGTCAGCGACGGCATGCCGCGGGCGGCGTTCGTACCCGTGCCGCCGGCTTGTTGCAGTATGCTGCGGTGCATGGGCAGGCTGAGCAGCAGGAGCTCCCCCGTGCTGCCGGCGGTGGTGTACTTGTGCTGCATTGTGAAGGGCGCTGGAAACTCCACGGTACCGCGCGTCGCGTAGCACTGGCTGTATGTGTCCAGGGTGGGCTCCGAGGCGGGGTCGGTGAGCACTGCCGCGCGGATCGTGCCGGTGAAGGGCCTGGCGTCGGCCCGGAGCGCGAAGCTGCTGGTGGTGGCGTCGATGGAGATTGGAAGCGGCGAGGAGGAGTAGAGGAGCCATGTCTGGCCGCTGTTGAAGAGGATTTTGTGCTTGGTGGCGTCCGGGTTGGAGGTGACGTTGATCACCGCGTTGATGGTGGACAGTAGCGGCGTACCGCCGCGGAAGAGGAAGGTGACGTAGGGGCTGCCGCGGACCAGCGGTACCGTGAGGCGGCGGCCCTGGCTGGCCAGCGTGACGCTGAGGTCGTCGAAGGCCGAGACGGCGAAGGCGGTGCCGGGCTCCTCCTTGCACGAGATGGAGAGATCGTCGGTGTGGACCTGGATCACGGCGGTGGGCTGGAGGAGGCGCTTGGGATAGCACAGGGAGACGAGGCCTTGCTTGAATCGGATTGAGTAGGGGTGGATGTACTCGGGCTGGGATCCGTCCTGGAGCACGTAGTTGAGCCAGAATGCGTTGGTGGGGAGTGGAGCGCCGGAGCTCCGGAGATCGGTGGACCAGAGCTGCGAGGGAGTGCCCGCCGCCGCGTTGTTGATGCTGCCAAAGCATTGATCATCGTCTCCCGCGAGTGCTTTGACGGCGATTGCGAGAAGGATGAATGTGATCAAGCTGTTGTTGTTGGTCATGATCTCTCGGATCCAGCGAGCTTGACGAGATGGGAAATTGGGCTTTTGCTGGATCTTTGGTACTGGAACTTTCGAAGATCACTCCAAGTGGAGCTGGGAGAAGGGTAAGAGTAGGGGTGGGGTGGCGCAGTTCTGCATGGATCGACTCTCTGTTGTGTTGTGTCGACTGAGAATACTTATATCTATTATCGCCCAAACCATAAGCAAAACAAACTATCTCCCCGATCTCCCCCCCTCTCTCTCTTTCTCTCCTTGTTCTTGCTCTCGGAGGAGGAGGAGAACGAGGGAAGGCTTTTGGGGTGTCATGGAGTTTGTGCTTTGACGCGAGGCGAGCCATAACAAACAAAAGCGAGCGCAAGAAAACAGCGCTTTGTGTGCACGGGAATCTTGTCGGCGCCGGCTTGGATCCAACGATTCAGGCAAACGTAGAAGGAGGGCGCATATTCTGCTCATGATCACGCAACCAAGCCTATCCAAACTCCTGTTCACAACTTTTAGCAACAGATCGTTAAACCCTTGAACGATCTATACCTTTAAGGTCCTTAAACCCTACCTTTATACTACCTTTAGGGTTTGTTAGACCTTAAACCCCGCTCTAGAATGGTGTCTCTCCAACAATGTTTCCTCTCGGATAATAGTCGCAGCTCGCCACAAACAATCCATTTCCACAGCTCAGATACGCGCATCCGAGCTTCTGGGACCTCGACCAGACAACCTGGGTGTAATGCCCACACACCTCGCCACTCTTGCACTGGTTGCTCTCCGGATCGTAGAAGCGCTGCTCCGCCACCCACAGCCCCACGGCGTCGCTGGGGCTTCCGGGCCCGTACCACAGTTCTCCCCGTACATGCCCCCCGAGTGAACCAAGTTCGTGCAGCCGTTGTCTCGCAGCTTGGACGCCCAGCCCCGAGCAAACTCGGCCAGGCTCGCGTCCCACGAGAGCGGCGGGACGTCTACCGCGGCCCTGGCGGCGTTGTGCGCGTCCAGGAACTCTTGATCGATGGAATTATCCTGCTGGAGGTTGGCCCGAATCGCAGCGCTGTAGCTGTCGGCGAGTCCGATGGTCATAGAGACAAGAGCAATCACAAGGAGCAAGTCCATATTTTCGTAGGATTCTCGCGCATGGATCTGCCCGATTGCTGGAGATTGCGATGATAGAAACTCTCTACATTGATCTTATAGGCACCCGGTTCCTCGAGGTTTCTTCCAATTGCGCTGAGAGAGGAAACTTTCTTTCTTCCATTGCGCTGAGAGAAGAAACTTTCTTCCCATTGCGCTGAGAGAAGAAACTTTCTACTCGACTCCCCTCATCTATGAAATTAGCACGCAAATCCCCAAGATGCCGGAGTATATCCCGCTTGATTCGAATTCAAAGATTGGCGCGCAGCTCTTTTTACAACAGGTGTAATAGATAGTAGAAAGTAAAAACGATGAAAAAAGCTCCTACGTGATGCTGGGCCTCGTGTAAACCCACCACAACATATTGGACAAGGAATTCCCATCGTCAAACCTCTCCAGGAGCTCCACGTTGGCACGCGCGCGTGCCGGATCATACGTGGCCTGCACCGCCAGCGCGAACCCCCGCCACGTGTCGCTCTGCACCGCCGGCGACGCCCACTCATACAGCTGCCGGTTGTAGTCCACGTCGTCGTACAGCGCCTCCGTGGCGGGCGTCACCGGTATGACCTGGATGCCGACGCGGCACTCGAGCACCGACGTGGCCGCGAACCACAGCGCGGTGTCCCGCTTGTTCGCCCACACCACGCCGCTCATCCGATTCTCGCGAACAAACTCCGGCTCGTAGAGATCGCTGTCGCGGCGGATGTGCCACAGCGATTTCGCGCCCAGCGCCTCGAATCCAGCGATGGCGCTGCCGGTGTTGGCGAGATCCTCGTCGCCGTAGGCTCGCCCCAGCAGCGCCGCCGCGTAGTAGGCATTCACGGCCTCGCTGCTGCTCTCCTGGTTGCGCCCATCCGCGAACTCGGTCAGCCCGCCCGCCCAGGAGTGCATCACCCACGGATCGAAGTGGCGGAAGCGCGGGAAATTCGCGCGCGATGATCCGGAGCGCGGCGGCGCCGGGGACATGTAGTCGCCCACCAGCGAGTAGAGATTCGTGCGGTAGCGCTCGCCCCAGCCGCGATCGAGCTTGGCGAGCACGGCGCCCGCGTAGACGAAGTAGCCCCAGTGGTAGTGGTGATCGTTGTACACTCCCAGGCCAAAGTCCGCGCCCGAGTCGAAAGCCCCGGCCTGGCTCACCAATCCACCCCACTGCCCATCGTAGACGATCGCGTTCCCCGCGTTGGATCCATCGAACCAGGGGCTGAGGTTGGAATCCAGGAACGCCGCCACCGCCGCCGCCTGGTCGGGCGCACCGATCTCCTCGGCGATGAGCGCCAGCCGCGCGGCGCGCGCCACCGCCTTGCCGAAGAAGTACGTCGAGGAGGTGTTGATCGGGCGGAGCGCCGCCACGTCGCGGGCGAGGGCCGCGCCCAGCCGCCCAGCTGCAGTGGGCTCGCGGATCCCCGCCACCGAGTGCCAGGCTATGGCGGCCATGGGCGCGCTGGAGTCGAGCTTCCAGAGGCTGCCCACCACGCCCTGGAGCTCGCCGTCGATGCTGGCGTAGCGGAGCTGGGGGAGCGGGCGCGCGCCGGCGGTGGCGTAGTCCATGGCGGCGCGGTGGAGGGGGAGCGCGAGGAGGAGGAGGTCGCCACGGCCCTGGGTCTTGTAGGTGAAGGCCATGGAGGCGCGCGGCGCGGAGGAGACGGTGTCGATCGAGACCCAGGACGCCACCGCGTAGCAGCCGCTGTAGCGATCGAGCAGTGGCTCGGCGCTGGGGGTGGCGACGAGCGCGATGCGAAGAACGCCCGAGTAGCCATCGCCGCTGGCCGAGAGCTGCTGCGCGGACCGATCGAGCTGGAGATGGATCGGCGCGGAGGAGTAGACGACCCACCTCTGGCCATTGGCGAGGAAGAGCGTGTGCTTGGTGGAGTCGGCGCTCCGGGAGAGATTGGCGATGGCGTGCGCGCTGGCGATGAGCGGCGTGGCGTCCGAGAAGACGAAGGAGACGTAGGGGCTGCCGCGGAGGAGGTGCGCGCGCATTGCCTGGCCGAGGGAGAGCGTCACGGTGAGGTCGTCGTGGTGGGAGACCTGGATGATGGGCGATGATGGCGATCGCGCGGAGACAAAGAGATCGTTGGCGTGGATCTGGGCGATCAAGGTGGGCGAGGCCTGGCGCTTGGGGTAGCCGATGGCGATGGAGGAGTTGCCCGCCTGGATGGTGTAGGGGTGGATGTACTCCGGCGAGGATCCCCTGTTGAGCACGAAGTTCTGCCAGAACTTGTTGGTGGGGAGGGGACGCTGCCGCGCGCGCGACGTCCATAGCCCGGAGCTTGGCTCGCCCGCCGCCACGTTCTGGACGGAGCGCTTGAACTGCTTGGCCACGGTGAAGAGGGAGTCGTCCTCCTCCCCCATCGCCACCATCGCCAGGATCGCCATGATCAGCAGGGAGTAGCGGACTAGCATCGCCACCAGCGCTAGCGGCGACGCCATCGCCATTGGATTGGAGCTCTCCTTCCTTGTTCTTCACTGCGTGGCGCTCGCGATCCGGATGGTGCTCGCGATCTGGACGAAATGTGGATGCGTAGCGAAACGCGGGAGCTCGGCAAGAAGGGATGGATCGATGAAAGGATCTCGAAAGAGCGGAAGAAAGCGCGCGGAGAAAGAAAACGCTAGCTACGAGGCTAGCACTAGCTCGGCCTCGCTAGTGGAGAAAGAAAGCTAGCGCAGAAATTAGAATCTATGAATGGAGGAATCAATGAAAGGCATGAATTCTCACATGTGTGAAAGGAGCGACCAAAAAGAAACTAGAGAAAAGATCTGAGAGAGCTTACTTGGAAGACCTCGAGTTCTTACTTAGTAGCTCGCGAGCTTTAGAACTGATTGGAGAGAAACGCAAGGAATTTTCAAGGCCCCGAGTTTAATCAGTGGTGGTGGAATCAGCGGCCCTTGTTTCCCTCCCCAAATTTGGGGGAACACTGGAATCACTCACACCCGCTGCTTAAACTTAGCTAAGAGAAAAAAAATTAAAAAATCCTTCTTTTGTGTGTAAGAATGAATCTCTATGTATGACCGCCATAGCCAACCGAGCTCCAGCGAGCCAACATTGGATACCGCCAGCCTTTTGCCTGAAACGCTGGTACCAACGAAACGATTTTCATGGCTCCGTGACAAGAGCCAAACCACTCCAAAACCAACCGTGTCACTTCTCGCTCGTCGTAGCTCATCGCCCAAAACAAAAGAATCGAAAAAAATTCACTGCTCCATTTTTCTTTTTCTTTTTTTTTTTCTACTCGAAAGTTTGCTCACCAGCGTGAGAGAGCCATAGTAGTCAACCTGACACACAAGTTCTTTGTTAAGAAAAGATAGATAAACTTTTCCTACCATCTTCTTCACTCGGGTCTCTTTAACTCGGTCTTGGATGGAATCAATGGCTCGTTTCTCGCTTGACTCGGTCCGAAGTTGGTCGAGATTTGGTCGATTCTTCGCGGCCTGTGTTTTAGCGTACCTTCTAGAGCCGAGTAAAAAAAAACGTAAATTCCAGTCTCACTGGGAGGGGCGGTGGCTCTCAGGCTGCTCGCGTGAAGGAACCGACTCCAGAGTTCGTGAGCTCCACCATGCCGTCCCCATGATCCGGCAGGCTTTTCCTGCTTCGGAATTTAGCTTCTGGTTGCGCAGTAAGACGCTTGGTGATGACAACGGTGGTGCTCATCAAAACGCGAGTCGCTTTTCTGAAATCAAACGGGAATTGATCGAGGCACTTAGAAAAAGAAATCGAACTTACCTTGACGGACGAGCTGCCGGGAAGCGGTATGTTTTGCCACCCAGCCGTCTCCCTGATCACTCTGACAAGCTGCTTGCCTGCCGGATGCACTTTGGGATTCATCGAGTAGTAATCTTCTGGAAGGAAGGCAGTGGAGTTTGCTGGGCCTTCGGCTCCATTGAGAAACACATCTCCATCAGAGCTGATGCTGCCAGCAACGGCTATATCACTATCGGGAGCCTGGAACAAAAAGGGGGCAAAGATTAAAATACGATCTCGACAGATTGACAGGGAGAAAGGAGAAAAAGTTGAGTGGCTTTCATGCCCAAAAGAGAAAAAGACAGTCAAGGACATGGGCCGCGATGCGTCACCTTTTCAATAAAATAGTCGAAAGCACGCTTGCTGGTTCCGGCCTCATAAACGTTGTGCTCCGAGACAATCTGCCAACATTTACGAGAAAAAAACGAGGATGAAGTTAAGCGTGATGGAATAAGATCAGATCAGACCAGAGCACCTGAGCTTCCACGCTAGCGCGAACACCATACACCCCCCACTCCCGAAAGTAGATGTTGTAAAGATGGACTTTCGCGAATCTCACTCGAGGATGTCGTTCTTGCGTCTGATCAAAGTAACAATGGTGGATTGTAACTTTAATGTTTCTATCCCCGACGTGACGAGGATTGGCACTGATAAGCATCGTTTTTTTGTGCTGATAAAAGTGACATCTGCAAAAGAGAACGAAAGGGAAAGGCCCAGTAAAAAACTTGCGTGGACTTCTTCGAGTTACCTGGAAACCGTCACGCGAGTGCTCCGTCTCGTGATGTCAATGAGGCCGTCATTGTAGTCCGAGAGCGTGCAGCGATCGATCCACACGTCTTTGGCGTCAGCGACAATTGTGATGGCATCGCCGCGGCCTCGCTCAAACTCGAGATTGTTTACGATGACATGCTCGCAGCTCTGCAGGAGCAGACCGTTTCCAGTGATTTTGATCCGTTGGCCGCGGCCATCGATCGTCTTGTGGGACGTGACTCTGAGCGGGGACGCTAGAGAAATTGTTCCTGAAACGTTAAACACAACCCAGAGTGGCTCGTCTCGAGCAGCAGCATAACGAAGACTTCCAGGACCGTCATCTATAAAAGTACAAGCACGGGAACACGAGCTAAGAAACACTCCATGAAAGCTTTCATTTCCGTTTCTTACCAAGGAGATTGGTGACGGGATAAGTATCGCCTTCGAGGCCACCGATCGAAGCGGCACCAAATCCTTCCGCTGCTCCTGCCAGTCCCCGAAGCGTAGCATCGACACCATGGTAAGGTGGTGGAGGAGCTCCACCGCTTGAGGCGATCTAAAAGCACAGGAAAGTAAAACTTAGAGCAAATGCTACACTTGCTACCTGGAAAAGAAGCACCAAGGGAACAAAACACACGCGCATGACGAAGAAGAATGAAAGCACGCAAGCACAAGAAAGAAAGAACGAGCGAACCTTGTAGAAGAAGAAGAAGTAGAAGAGCGTCGCGCTTGTCCAGGCGCCACTCGTGCGTTTTTGGCGGCGCTGAGCACGCAAGGGCGATCACTCCATCTCTGCCGCCGATTACCGGGTAATCGCCGCTCCACGCCGATGATGCTGGCGCCAGCGCCGCAGCGATCTCGCGTGATCGCGCCCAGACAAGCGCCTTGGAACACGCTACATTCGATCCACATTCTCCCGCGCCCTAAAAGAAAATGGATGGAGCAACGAGTGCATCAAACTCCTAGATCAAATGTAAGGAGAAGGAAAGAAGGTAGCTTTCCTCACAGCTCTCCACTGGTGCACTGATCCACCTTCACTGCAAGATGGAGTTTTGATGCACAACAAGATTGTCCAGTCTGCACGAAAGTTTTAAGTTCGCTTACTTTTCTTTGCTAGAACACTTCACCCATGCCATTGTTTAGTCATTTAATCAAGTATTTAATGCTTATATCAAACACCTATAATCTTTCCCTTTTTCTCTAGGTTGTCGAGTACACAGAACAATGCTGAGCTGTCGATAGCGACTCTTCTACATTTTCATTGTTTGTTTTTTCCTTTCTTTTTCTGTTTAATCTGAAGAACCTAATCATCAAAGGGTCAAAAGGCAGCAGCGAAAAACTTTGTTAGCGGCAGAGTTCGCCAAGTCCTTCTCAGCCATCTGTGAGAAGAGGGAGGCCCTAATCAGGGCTTCTCTTTTCACGACAGTGGATACATTGGTGGCGAACGCACTGGTGTACTCTATAAATGGATCTGGAGAGATTTGAGCAGCAAAAGCCTCTATAAGCGTAGACCATGATCATTGCATTCTAACATTCAAACGTGTGACGAAATGGTCTGCCACCTTTTCAAAGATCTCTCTAGCTGTGCACACTCTTCCACGCATAGCAACACAATCCAATCCACTCCCACGATGTATTTGTGAGCCACTTTTATTTTGGAGTGGCTGAACTACTTAAATTAGTGGGGCTCCTGGAAGTTATCCCACAGAGGCTTGTTCAAACACTTAGCTGGAGCAGTAGCTTTATCTGAAATTGTTTTTTAAATTTAAATTGTTTTTTCCACGGGTAAAAGTTAGAAAATAAAACTAATTTCCCTTAAGTAAACAACAGCAAATTAATTTTAGCATAACATTCAATCTAGCCCATCCAAATATAATATTCTTGAAATACTCTAAAAGAAAGAAATTTCTTACAGAATTTTACTTTTAATTTGAATCCATTTTTTACTCAGGTAAAGTAAAATGGTTTAAGACCACAAAATAAATTTTAGCCATTGATCATATTATAACATTTAATCTACTCCATCCAAAGATAATATTCTTGGAATATTTCTCAAACACTCTCAAATGGAAAACACTTTTAATCTAATTATTATAATATTAGTATCCAGCAGTTAAATATTAAGTTTAAAATTATTAATTAATAAATATTTTAAGTTAGATCTACAAAATATAAGAGAACCATATAAATCATACTCAATCTTTATAAAAAAACATAATTTTCTTTGATTTTATTTAAGTTTTTTCTCTTGATTTTTTAGCTTAGAAAATTACTAAGTAAAATATAATATAAAATTAAACCACATTACAAAACAAATTCTATCTTGGGTTTATGGTTACATAAATTATTTTTTAATTTTTTTAATAAATAATATAAGAATATTATAATTTTTTAAAATAAAAGAAGCTATTATTTTCTTTTGTTTTTTCAATAATTTATTTTTAACTATATAAGCTTACAGTATTTTTTTATATTATATATATATATATTTTATATATATTAGTTAAGAAATTAAAAAATATTAATATCAATATCATCATGGCAAAATTTGATGCCTTTATCCATAAAGCTCATACTAGTTGAAAAATATTGGATGCAACTACAATTTTCAAGGATTGTTATATACATGTGATCACATCTTAATTTAATTAAATACACTAATATAATAAAAACAAAATTTATAAAACAATAGACATAAAAATTAATAATTTTCTATGCTGTGTAATAACACTTAGAAATCTTAGAAAAATAAATATCAACAATATCTCCAACATTTAGGCCAAGACCTTTAACAATAACATTATAAGAACCTAGGTCAAGATTTCCACCATTAATTGAGTTAAAGCCTTTAGTAAATATAATAAACTACTTTAATCATTTATAGTATTCCCAGCAAATTGGTTGAAAATATTTAGTGTATGTTCTATACTTTAAAATATGCTAGAAATACTTTAAAATACCTAATAATTGATCTTTTATTTTGTCTTTGCCATGGTACATTTGTCAACATGACACTTTACTACTCCTTGGGCATTGCCACTACTTGCTCTATAGAATATTTCTGAATATTTTAATCCTAATATTACAAAAAGGGTTGAATTACAATTTTATCAAAATAAAGAAACCAAAAGAAATTCTAATTATAGCATTATACTAATTTAATATTAATTTTTTATTTGAATAAATTACCATTAAATTCAATTATTAAATTAGAGTTTGCAAAATCTAATGTAATATGAACGCATTATCATTAAATCACTTAAATTAATGGTGTGTGCAAAATCCTCTAAACTCTTTGATTAAAGTTTCATTGATTGATAATACGATCAATGCAATCAACCATATTGTCCTTTGGCTTTGGCTTTAGTGCTCCTTTTGACCTTTGATAATTCTTGGATACAAAAAAGCTTGGTTTTTTTTCCTAATTCTTGAAAACAACATAAATATCACTGTTGCTACATATCATATATCCTCTATCATGCATTGTGAAAGGAATGTTGCCATAGTCATTTCTAAAAGATAAGTGACAAGAGAAATGTAAACGACTAAATTTTCCATTTTACTTTAGTCACTTAACCGCACCTCCGACCACTTGGAGGAGTCTCATTCACAACCTCCATAAGTCCCAATTAGGACTTG